TGACATTATTGATTTGTGAGTGATCTGAAAGGGGTCATGGCATGATAAATCTTTAGCTTAGGCAAATAAAACAGATTTTAATCCAATAATATACTCGGTTATAATTAGGGGACCCAATTCTGATAAAGCATATAGACACTACATATAACTATTACAAGAATGTTCAATGTAAAGAAAAAACATACAAACATAAGTACATGAATCTCAACTAATATTATACCACGATTTTTGGAGATACTACATATATGTATACCGTAAGATATAATTTTATTCTATCATAAAAATATTATATTCCCATTCCCTGTCCATTTGTAAAAGAAGCCTTATAATATGAAAATAATCTGAGAGTTTTGGATCGAATGATGGACAAGAAATTGGCAGAATGTACTATATAATATTATGCAGTTTCTGTTGGATATTTGCTCTATGTTGCATCAGAGTTTTGTACATCACATAAGATAATATCTTTCCGGACACAATATTTTAAAACTTCAGGCGGAATTTGCTGGACAAGTCCAGGCTAGGTAGAATAGGATGGATAGCAAACTGTCTGTACCATTCACAGAACGTCTGTATTGGAAATTGGTCAAGTTTTATAGATTGTGGTATGCACAATGATTACGTTCTGGATTTCGTTCAGGTGGCACAGTCTACATTCTGGTGATGTGCTTGAAAGACATATCAATAAGTACATGCCCGTAGCCAGGATTTTGAATGGGGGGGTCTTCCCACTTCTTGAGGGGGACCTCGAGCGCCATAGGCGCAAGGCGAGCGCTGAAGGCGCGAGGTTCCTAGGGGGGTCCGTAATTTTGAAAAACGAACCTTCTAAAATGGCATTTCGTGCGTTTTTGAGAGGATTTCCAAGAAAAAATCAGAGATAAATTTTTATTCAATGACAAAGGGAGCAGTTTTTCTACGATTCCAGTCCTTCTTTTCAAGAAAAATCTTGGACCTTTACATAAAAAGTGGACCAAAAAGTGGACCTTTACATAAAAAGAGGACCAAAAAGTGGACCTTTGAGCCTTGTGGGGGGGTTCGTCCGAACCCTGGCTACGGGCATGTAGTACAATGTACATTGAACATGTATCTATCTAATATATCCATGTATACAGTGCAAAAAACAGCTCTACAACACTACCAGAATGTAAAATTTAATATATTATTATGGTCTGTGGCTCAGACCATAATAATAATACATTCTGGTGGTCTTGTGTGTTGATGTGCCAGTAACTCTGACCAATATACCTGATGAAAGGGTCAACTTCAATGTCTTCCACCATTGACCGTTCATCTGGGTCAATCGGTCAATCGACTGACCGTCCAACAACAGGGGGCCAGGCCAGGGTTCGAGAAGTGGACATACAAAATTAGTCTGGACTTCGAGAGTGAATTAATCAGTTTTTCTGTGTACAAATCTTTAAAAAACTAAAATCTAACATGATTACAAAGGGCTCCAAAATACTGGGTGCATGTACACCTTTTTTTTTTTCCCAGTGCACCCAAATATTTTTTGACATATTGAATGTATTTATAATACTTTTTTTTATTAATAGTATACAGGATATTCTTGGCATCTAAGTGTCAGAAAAATAATAAAAATAATAAAACCTTTGTTGTAGTACTTGTTTAGCACAGAAGAGGCTCAGTAACTTTGAGTAAGATCTGTAATAATATTAAGTTTTGTTTTATATGAGGCACCTAAAAATTTTTCTGTGCACCCAACTTTTTAGGTTGGGTGCACTAGAGCCGCCTATTCCTAAAAATGAATTTCGAGCCCTGTTACAGATTGCACCAAAGTTGAATCTTGCCTGTACTGAAAACTCATTTAGGCCTTAAAAAATGTACAATGAGTTTCTAGTCACGGGTTATGTTTTGGCTGGTTTTCAAATGAGATTACACTATATACCCAGCAGGGCATACGTGTACATGTACGTTGTGACGTAGGGATTAAGTAGTTTAGATTTCTAGACTTATTTCTTCCTAATAAATAGTAATGTTAAAATGAATAAGAATTTGTGCTTTATTGTCAACATCAAGATCTGTACATGATCCATTAATGAAAACATGACCCATCACTGATGTTTTTTTAACCCTTGTCCTGCGGAGCCCAACAATTGTTGTTCTGCACATACAGTACCGACTAAATAGCACCCTGTATAGGTACGATTTGGGTATTTCTCGTGCAACGCATCACACCGCAGCGAAACGCAACGGATGCGGAAGTAACTACTAGTATGGCACTGCAGGGCAAGAAAAATTGGGGGTCTATGATCTAATTAAGACTTGAAATTATTGAAAAATATTGTGCCAGGAATGCCAGCAGGACAAGGGTTAAAATGTGTCATAAAAAATGTGTCAACATCTACATATTTATTATGGTCACACTAGTCTAATTTCTGTAACTCCAGGGATACATACTATGTTTGAATACTATGAATAACATGTATTTCCAGAACTAATGTACATAGGAGGATCTTTGCTCAACTAATGTTCCTATAATTTCAAACATAACATGTTAAGATAAAAACAATATTCTAATAATCAATCTACTAGTAATCTACTGAACAGTAATTAACAAGATATTTTGGTGTGTTAAACAGAAATGTTACCACAAAAATGTAACGTTATATTCAAAAACATCAAATACATTTTCAGAAATTGTCTACAATCATGTTTGTCAAACATAATCTTTCATTTTGATAGATAAATAAATTTGTACGTGGTTACTCTCATCTGCCAAATAAACATACGGGTACGTTTATTTTTTTGGCCAGAACATCCACCCAGTACGTTCTTATTTTGCACAGTACGTTTATTAATTTTTTGAAAACCAGTAATTTTTTTCAACTTCGTGTGAAAAAAATTGACAAATCATCGACGTGAAGACGTTTATAAACGCGTATTGTAGCGAGAAACTTGTCATTTTTCGGCCGGTTTTTGCAATCACCGCGTGCATAAATTCGTCTGAATGTTCTATTGTCATGGGTGGTGCTTATCAAAATACAAAATATTAAATGCTCTTTTTTGTCTATTTAAATTCCTAATTGCAAATAACAGTTAAAGATTTGTGCATATATCAGTAAAGGCGCATTTTAGTACAAGAGACACAGGTTACCCATCAATTTTGGTAATTTTCCGGGGGGTACGTTTATTCCGGGGGTATGTTTATTTGATTTTGAAGATTTTTCCGGGGGGTACGTTTATTCCGGGGGGTATGTTTATTAGACTTTGAAGATTTGTCCGGGGGGTACGTTTATTCCGGGGGGTATGTTTATTCGGCAGATGAGAGTATTTCTCTTCACTAGAGGTACATGGCAGTATTGATAACATTGGGGTTTTGAAAACAAAAATAGAATTTCCTTAAAGTGATATTATGTAGGATTTTCGCGCCAAAACTGAAAATACAAATAATTGAAATTTTCTCATCTAGATTGTCATTTTCGATAACTTTCAACATATTAGCGTCGCTATTTCGCCTTTTCGGCAACTCAGCGCAGCGCGAGAATAAGGTGCGCAAGGCCCAACGTATTTATTTGTGCCACAATAAATAGAATGTAAACAAACAACGGTTTTCGTTCGGAAATCTTCGGCAACTTCCGGCGCGTGTCTGGGTTCCATGGTTCGAACGCTTTCGAACGCTGGAGTTCGAAGCCGATTGACTTCAAATTTGCCAATTTTTGAACGGTCAGTACCTAATCTAAAATCCTCTTTTTGTATATACTTGAAAGTTATCATGTCACTTATAATATTGCATGTGGTAACCACATTCATACAGTTTCTCATACCAAGGAATGAAGTTTATGACATTACGCTAAATGTATCAAAATGTTGCGGAAACTCAGAATGGTGTGCGCCGGTAGCTACAACTGGGCTAAAATTTCGTCACCGCGATGTGTGCACCGTCGCGGTTTTCTTTGGGGCAAACCCGTTTGACCTAAAACTAAACAGGGGAATTTGGTATCGATGTAAAGGTGAAGATGTGGGCTATCACACTGTGGTATTAGCTAATGGGATCCAGTTGGCCAGTAAAAAAAGATAAGCACAGATAAACTGACCAAAGATGCTAATGTTTGGAAGGCCATAACGATCGGTGTCATTTTGTAATGCACGAAATATCTACATTGTTGTACTAGGCAAATCCTGTAGATATGAAAAAGTATAAACGTTACGTATGTCTAAGGTGTTTTTGTTGCACTATTGACAGTTGTCAAATCGTGACCCGGCATATGCCGTATTTTAGAGAATAACGTGTTCTACGGTGACCTGCGGTTCGGCTGGATTCGGGAATGCTCGGACGCGGTCGGATGTAAACAAACATGGCCGCGATCCGCGCTAGCGCCGCGGAGTGCGCAGTTTTCCAACGCGTATTTGCGGCGAAACGACGTTGATATGTTAATCCCCAAATGTCATCATTAAGTCAGGTAGGTGTAAAGAGCAAGAAAATGTGTAAAAGAAAGATTTCTAAAATAGTCAAAATTCTACATAATGTAGCTTTAAAACCAAAAAAATTCCAGGTTGTAAATCAATGACGTGGCCTTTTTACTTGATAAAAACACACACATTTTTGCCCTACATTCCATATCCCATGAATCGAATTGTCATGTCATAAAAAATTATTTGATTACCGGTAGCCACAACATAATTATGCACAACAAACAAAACGATGACCGTTAGTTTCCATGCATTTGCATAATATTTGTGGGTGTGTACTGCGGCCGTAAGCTGCATTCTTGACGTATTTCGGCCTTTTTCAAAGAAAAGAGCAAGTTTTTGGAAATATGAGTCGGGAACATGACTGTGGAGTGATGGTAGAAACGATGAGATCATTCATTCACGATGTAGTGAGAAACCACATGACCATCCTCCCTTCCGCATATTCTCACCGCGCGGTTTCTACCCTTGTCACCTCGTATCGTACGGTTCACCGCCGCCCAGCGGCATTCTACACGTCCCTAAACACCTTAGCTACTACGTGGTGCATGAGAATTGTTCAGACTCACCTGCGGAGGCTTGTAGAAGTGAGAAAACAAGGCCGACTTTCAGCGCGGCTCAGCCGTCTTGCACCGTGTCCGCCATGTTCAAATTCCTAATTTGGCAGCTACGGATTGTGGGAGCCGTGCAGCAGCGCCACCTTCCGAGATTAGTCTCAAGTGCACAAAAATAAGTTACCACTTCGTTCGAGGTGTGAATCTTATGAATTAAAGTTTCGCAGAAGGTGTAAAACTTTAGCTGACACAATTGTTTGGTTTTCTCTTATTTTGTTCAGTTTATTCTCTTCCCCTGTGCACTTGTGTTTGCTTCTAGTAACGTTACCCACAAGCCCGTGCGCACCAAAACTGGTAGCCGGAAGTTTTGGCTTCTTCCTCGGTTCTTTCCAGTGGAGCCTGAGCAAGGAGGTTCTGCTCGGCCCCAGGCATCTGTGGCTATCTGTGAACGTTGGAAAACCTGCGGACATTTAGGACTGAACGCTGGGATCATTTGCAGGTTGGTGGGCTTGTTATTCGCCTAGGAGGTCATGTTCTTGCAAGGAGACTTGGTTTCAGCTGCAAAGAGGTTTAGAGTTTTAGAGTCTCGATAATTTTATCAAGGAGCTTTCATCACAGTGATGAAAGCTCCTTGATTTTATCAAGCAAAATTATACTGCTTGTAGTACTACTTTGTTTGCGAGTGGCAGTGAAGAAAAAAAAAACTAACATTTTTTTTTCATAACCAGCTGAAAATAACTCTCGCAAGAAAACTGAGCACAAAACTCTCGTGAAGCATGAAGTGAGGCCAACAACAACATCCAGATGGCAGTCATTTTGTCCTCTAGCCGAAGATGACGTTTTCGCACGCCTGCCGAGTGCTCTAAATAAGGGAATCGTCGGAAATCTGACACACATCGCTTCTTGTCGGCCAGGGTTCGGGCTATCTCAGTGTAAACTAGAGGTCGGAGATTTCATGTCTTCGTCAGAGGTACATCGTTCTAGAGAAATTAACATGCGTATTCTTTACTCTTTTTAATAATCAATTTGGTCTAAAGAACAAAAGAATCTCTGCACTATTTTTATGGTACAGAACACCCTGAAACAGTTTGCCGCAGATTATACAGATGCGTCGTCACCCGTGTTAGCCCCCCCCCCCTACGTTATTTGAGTTTGGACTGTTACTGGAAAAAAAACGTTCAAGAAATTCTTACTGTGTCACGACAGCGTCGCAAAATATAATAAGAGAAGATGTTATAAAGGAAAGAATCAGAACAGTGCGACTACTGCTGTTTTGTTAATTTGTCTTTATGACAAATAGAAGACTTGTTTCTTGTGTTCTTTGTGTCCTAACATTTGTACTTCTACAGTTAGCATATTCCAAATCTAGGCATCTCGTTTTTCGGCCCTTCGTGTTTTTATTGCGCGTTTGCCTTAAATTTAAGGTAATTAGATTTAAGGTCTCCTGTGGACGTCATCCATAGCAATTACTTGGTGTGGCCGTAGAAAATAACCTGACATATGTCCAACCTATCCTCCCCCTGCTGAAGTTATAGTACAATCCCTCAATGTAACGTCATTTGATCCCATCCCATTATGGGGTTCCCCGGCTATATCCAGCTGTCGGCTGTCTCCAAGCAGATGTAGGTGGGGGATTTCTAAACACAAAAGGTCCTATTACGGGGACATAACGACCTCCACGACTCTCATCTTTGAACTCAATCTTGGACTTGGAGACCACCACAGTAACATGCCTATCAAATTTCATTAACTTCCATCCACACATACAAAAGTTATCCTGCTCACAAGAAAAATTAACAAAATGCCCCCTGTAGTCACAACGAAACCCCCCACGAAGCTCAGTAACGAACTTAACCTTGGTCCCGACAATAGTGAGCACCACACCAAGAATTATAATCAACATTTTACAAATACTTGAGTTATTTTGCTAACAAGCCACAAACACAAAAGGTGCACCTACGTGACGCAAGGACCCCCCACGAAGCTGAAACTTGTACTTGACTTAACAGCGGTAATCTGCCTGCCAAAAATCATGGACGTCGAATCATGCCTTCCAGAGTTATATCGCAAAATCCGCAGTTCCCCACACTCCGGCGAGACAATTTCATAGTCCTTCTGACGAAGACAATCAGTAGCCTGGGTTCCAGACCCATAGCACACTAGGCAGAAAATATCTCAGTGATCTCACTCACTGAGATATTTTGCGTCCAGTGTGCTATGGGTATGGAACCCAGGCTAGTAAATCGGAGGCTATGACGTCATAGCTGCTGACATAGCTAGACTCATTTGCATGGAAAAGCCTGCAGCCAACACAGAGATCAAAGGCGCTGGCAACCACTCTCATCTTGGATGAAACTGCTTTCCCTATAACCAGTTACCTTGCTATATTAAAGTGAATGAAATACCCAAAGTTTAGGCCGTCTTCACACTTAAAGTTTATGGAACCGCATTCAAGCCTAAATCGCCAATGTGGCTCTGTCTCAACACTCACCAAGTCACACTGAACACACCTCGATGCCAAACTGGCCTAGCCTGGGTACCATCCGGATTTTCACTCCGTCACGCTTGATTTTTTAGAGCATGGCGGAGCGAAAATCTGGATGGTGCCCAGGCTAAAACTGGCCAGCCTCAGTGCATTGCGACTTCAGTTTAAAAGCAAATTATCTGACTTCACCGGTGTACTAAAAAAATGTATGTTGACCCTGAATGACCCAGTCATGGATTATGGCAACCTGGATACCTTCCTCTCTGTCATGTCTGTAGTCACTACAGACATGAATGAGAGGAAGGTATCCAGGTGGTTATGAAAAAGTTAGAATTTAGCATTTCTAGTTCTACTTGCATTTATTGATGTGTCTGTCTACAGCCGTTTAACACTGTCCTGCATTATTTTCTCCAGCAGATTTCATAGAACACCAGCCTCTAGGTGAACCGCCGCTATGTCTGGGGGCTACTATAGCGTCCGGCAGTACAGTGAGTATAGTGACGAATACGATGACAGTGATGATGAAGATAGTGATGATTATGACAGTGACGATGATGACTATGACTCTGACTCCGATGACGTGTACGTCACCAGGACAATCAGATCTAGAACATTAGCAGACGGTTCCCGTCACTTTACAAACCAAGCCCAATTATCCGAGCTCCTTGCTGAACTTGGCAGCCAGCGGAAGACCGGAGAATTCCTTGATGTGGTGGTACAAGTCGAGGGTAGAGAGTTCCCCTGTCACCGGGCTGTGTTGGCATCCTCGCCGTACTTCAAAGCCATGCTGTCCTCGAACCTTGCTGAAAGTAGTTCAAGAGTCATACAGCTGCGTGAGATTGACTCCAACAGCTTCTCAAAGATCCTGGACTTTTTGTATACCGGGAAAATCCGCATCGGTAAAGACGACATCCAGGACATTCTGAAGACGGCGCACATGCTACAGTTGGACAAGATTGTGGAGTTTTGCTCTGGGTTCCTCCAAGATTACCTCTGCCCGTCCAACTGTCTGGGTGTAATACGCCTGGCAGAGCTGTATGGATTTTCTCTCTTGAAGACAAGAGCAAGGAACATGGCATTGTCAAAATTCCCCGATGTCTCACAAGACGAGGAGTTCCTTACCCTTTCGGTGCAAGAACTTGCAGATCTACTTGGAGACAAAGATCTGATTGTAAAAAATGAAGAGGACATTGTCCATTCTGTACTCAGATGGCTCGACCATGACCCTGAGAAGCCCAGAACAGGAATCCTAGAAGTTATACAAGAGATCCATCTGTCTTGTGTGAGAGTCAGCGTGCTACAGCAGCTGGAGTCTCACCCTGTGATACATGAGTCCACAGAATGCCTGGCAAAAATCACAGCGGCTAAGGAGAAACATATTTTAGGTACCAAGGTAGAGGGAGAGGATGTAAGTTGTCCTAGACGCCGTGACAACCTTGCAATCATAGTTGGTGGTTGGAAGGCAGTCAGTGCACACCCGACACCCCTGCAAAGATTAATTTGCTTTGATCCAGACCGTAAGAAGGAATTCTACCACATCACTACCCTCCCCACACCTGTCTCTGGCTACATGAGCGTGGCAAGTGCAGGGAGACACCTGTACGTGACAGGTGGGCGGGTTCATCCTCTACTCGGCCAGGGTCCCCATTCTGCTCCATCCAGGCAGGCCTATCGGTACGATTTCCCTTCGGACGCCTGGCTGAAGCTACCCGACATGCCTCGCGGCAGAGCAGGGCATCAATCGGTTGTTGTTGACGGGAAACTCTTTGTGGTTGGCGGCGACACTGATCATGAGATGACATCTTCAATGACGATAGATTGCTATGATCCTGAAGAAGGGGCTTGGATAAAGGACTGTGTTGGCCCGCCATTTGCTACTGTGCTGCCGAAATTACTCACTTCATCGAGCTTGACAGTAACAGCCCATGGGGACAGAATTGTATTCATCAGTTTGTCAAAGATCGTCAATATGTCCCAGTCCCAGCGAGGGGGACAACGAAAACTCTGCATCCATGCATTTGATGTGACAACCAACGATGTAAAGTATGCCGATATCCTGGTGGGTAACCCAGATTTAGAGGACGTGATTCGTGCAACACCTGTCAATGACAAGCTATACATCCTTGTTGATATAGATAGATTTGACTGTCTATATATCTTTAATGTCAAAGAGGAGACCCTAACTTGGGGGGATCGACGAGATTGGATAGAGAAAGTCCTTCGCACTGAAAGGAAGACCAGCTACTGCAACATGGATGTACCGAAGGGCGTAATGAATACCATTACCAGTTACATATGGTCAGACTCAGACACCATTGGTATTGGAATCGACACATCCCTTCCGTTTCCCATATTTGGCCACAGCTTCCTCCAGACCAAGAAGAGCCGTGTCGGGTGGTACTGCCGGGACCTTGCAGCACTGAAGAGAGATGACGAGTGAGAGGATGAATCAAGTTGAAAAACACTGAATAACAATGACAATACTTCAAGCTTACGTTAACAAAACTGCAGAGAGTGCCTGGGGTCACCATGTTACTACCTTGGAAAAAGTCACTCATTTTGAGGCCCAAAATAAGACCATGTCGCCCTGTGGTATTGGGTCCAAAAACCAAGCGATTTAGCCATCGGAATGTTTACTCCAAAATAAAGTGACCAAATTAAACAATAAAGCTTTGCTTTTTAAATAATTGATGATCCAGTCTGCTCACAATTTCCAGGATAAGTCAGGAAATATAGAATTTTCTCATTGTACATGCAAATGACACTGCACTAGTACATTGTAGTTCACTGATTTACATAATTTGAACAAATGACCTAGAGTACCTAGTGATAGTCTTTTCAAGTCTGGAAACACGAACATTCATCTCCAAGCAGATGTTAGGAAAGAAAATGATTTGTTTCAACCACTACCCTTGTCTGAATAGAAGGACTGTAAGGAAACCTGATATCAGATGACCGAAAGATCTTGTTTGGAGATTAGACAGACATCATTACACTTTGTGACCAAATTATTGAGTGCTACAACAGTTCAAGGTACTTTGATGGCAAGGCAACAATGAGTTACAAGCCAGCTTTGTACATTGGTGATATGTGATCAGATAGGTACAGATCATGTTGGATACTGATTGTACAAATGTATGTTGTAATTAAAGTTATATTAATACATGTGGATCTAGGATGTTGCCACCCAAAACACACCCTGAAAGACATTGGTCCTATTTACTTTATCCTGTCTTTTTTGTTGATGTAAGCATCTATAATGAAGTATTTGTTCTGCCTTTTTTTGTTGATGTAAGCACTTATTACATTTACTGTATAATGAAGTATTTTCACACAGTAGTATTAGACCCAAGTCTGGGCTTGATGTCCTCTGAGCAGTACTAGTAACCGCAAACTTGTTTGCAAACCGAGGCTAGTTTTAGATGTTTAGAGATGTACCAGGATTTTGCTTGTTCGGAAGGATCAAGAAACAGAAAAATAAATCAATAGACAAAGTGCTGATGCTGTCATTGTGTATGTATTGTCTGCAATCTAGGCGAGAATGGGGGTGTCCAATTATTGAATACAAAATACGGACACTAATCATCTACAGAAAGATGGGAGCCACGGATTATGCCGTGCAGCAGCGCCGCCTGCCGAGATTAGTGTAAAGTACACAAAATAAGTTAGGACGGCATACACATTTCGCAGGTGTAAAATTGTATAAAGTTTCACAAAAGGTGTAAAACTAAAGTAAACAATGTTATTTTGCTTTCTCTTGTTTGGTTGAATCTTCCCCTAGCTACGCATCAATTTTAGCTAGTTTAGTTTGTAACCAATACCCATAAGCCCGTGTGCACCAAAACTGGTAGCCGGAAGCTGATCGGCCGTTCAAAAAATAACTAAAGGAGGGGGGGGGGGTTCAAGAAGACGGATTTTACGTATGGTGGTTAATAGGTTTGGATTTTGTAGGATTGTACTGAGGGGGTCAAGCAAACAGACGGGCTCGAGCAAGATCTGGATTTCGATTTTGAGAAAGTAGCAATGTATAGATCTTCAACCCCCCTCCAAATTTAAGTTTTGGAACAGCCCATTCGAAGTTTTCGTCCGAGCTTCAACTAGAGGTTCTCCTTGGCCCCAGGCACCCGTGAACGTTGGAAAACCTGCGGACTTTCAGGACTAAACGTTGGCATCATTTGCAGGTTGGTGGGCTTGTTATTCGCCTAGGGAGTTTATATATGTCCCTGCATTGAAGGAGAATTGGTTTTTGCAAGGAGGTACCACTCGAGGTTGAAGAAATTATTTTGCAAGGAGGGAGAAAGTCCCAATTTTTTTTTATTTACTTTTCTTTGTTCCAATAAAGCCTAGTTAACTATGTTCGCCGCGAGTGCAGGGGAAGGAAAACTCTACATGAACAGTCGTTATAACCAGCTGGAAATATCGATAATTTGTGATCCATGCACAAATCTCAGCCATGTTGGTCGTGAAGCGAAGAAAAACAACATCCAGATGGTTGTCATTTTGTGCTCTAGCCCTGGCTCTAGCCGATGTTTTCGCACGCCTGTCGAGTGTTCTAAATAAGGCAATCGTCGGAAATCTGACACGCATCGCTTCTTGTCGGCCAGGGTTCGGGCTATCTCGGTGTAAATCGGAAGCTGTGACGTCATACCGAGGTCATTTGCATGGAAAAAGCCCGCGAAACCTCGGCGCCATCACAGCGATCAGAGGCGCCAGCCCCAGCTTGATCACAGCGGGATTTTAGCTATTCAAAACAAAGGGCCCAACATCCAACCTCCTGAACGTAACCGCCTTTGGAAGCGTTTGTTTGTCTATATTCTGGATGTGTTGCGATCTTTGGGTCTGGTTATTGTAGATTCAAGCGTAGACAACACCAGGCGTTGAGCTGACTCCAAAACGGTTACTTCTTCCAAGCCATGTGAGGCGGTGCGGGTATAAGAAATGTGATCTAAGCTCCCTTAGGTATAATCCATGTGCCAGATGATAAGAAAGTAGTACTAGGCAAAGTCTCTTAGTCTTGGGTATCAGTAACTTGCCTGATGATGAATGGATGAATATATAACAGGATGTTACCAAGAAGGTTGATGTAACATGACGTATGTGGTACAAATGTATAGCAGTTTTAACTCTCGAACCTTTGGGTGGTTTGTGATGAAGTTCCTTGGTGCAAGGAGTTACCAAGTATGAAAGTTCATCTGTGCTGGTCGTTACATCTTTAGAGTTAAAACTTTAGATCCAACACAGTGAGGCTTGTCACGTGGCCTCATTGTGACGTCAACACTGGGTCAAAGTTATCTGGTAGACGATGAAGTAAGCACGTCGGCAGAACGTACTGCACCTGCGCGAAACCCGTAATGTATTGTACATAGCACTTTGGAAGAAAGTCTCATATAAGGTTGTATAAGGTTAGGTTTATAATAAGGTTAGCATTTCGACAGTAGTTTCCAAATGTTGTGTCGGAAAGAATATCCTCTGCAACAGGCAAAATTCTAATGCAACGTTGACCAAAAATCCAACGAAAAACGCAAAAATACGGGGTTCTGCGCAGGCGCAGTACGTTCTGCCGACGTGCTGATGAAGTATAGCAAGGGATTTTTATCAAACCGTGAGATGCAGATTTTGAAGATGAAAAAAATTAGAATCTAGCATTTCCACTCGCAATTGTATTGATGCTGTCTCTTATTATTTTCTCCAGCAGATTTCATAGAGCACCATGTCCGGGGGCTACTATGACGAAAATGGCTTCTGGCAGTACAGGTATAGTAACGATGGCTATGAGAGTTACGATGATGATGACTATGACCCCGACAACTTGTACGAAGGAGTGACAGACCGAACATTAGAAGACGGTTCCCGTCACTTTGCAAACGAAGCCCAAGGACCCGAGCTTCTTGATGAACTTGTAAGCCAATGGAAGAACGGAGAATTCCTTGATGTGGTGGTACAAGTCCAGGGTAGGGAGTTTCCCTGTCACCGGGCTGTGTTGGCATCCGTGCCATACTTCAAAGCCATGCTGTTGTCCAACCTCTCTGAAAGTAGTTCAAACGTCATACAGCTGCGTGAGATAGACTCCACCAGCTTCTCCAAGATTTTAAATTTCCTGTATACCGGGGAAATTAGCATTGGTAAAGATAATGTCCAGGACATTCTTAAGGTGGCACACATGCTACAATTAGACAAGATTCTGAAGCACTGTCGCTTATTCATCCAATACAACCTCTGCCTTTCCAACTGTCTGGGCATCATGCGCCTGGCAAACCTGTATGGTCTTTCTTTTCTGAGGAAGAGAGCGAGGAACATGGCATTGTCAGACTTCCAAGAAGTCACACAGGATGAGGAGTTCCTTACGCTTTCGGTGCAAGAACTTGCAGACCTACTTGGAGACAAAGATCTGAGGGTAAAAAATGAAGAGGACATTGTCCATTCTGTACTCAGATGGCTCGACCATGTCCCTGAGAAGCCTAAAACAGGAATCCTAGAAGTTATACAAGAGATCCGTTTGTCTTGCGCGAGGGTCAGCGTGCTACAGCAGCTGGAGTCTCACCCTGTGATACGTGAGTCCGCAGAATGCCTGGCAAAAATCACTGCAGCTAAGGAGAAACATATTTTTGGTACACGGTTAGAGGGAGAGGATGTAAGTTGTCCTAGACGCCCTGACAGCCGCTGGCATGATAACCTGGCAATCATAGTTGGTGGTTGGAAGGCAGTCAGTGCACAGCCGACACCCCTGCAAAGCATAATTTGCTTTGATCCAAACCCTAGTAAGGAATACTACCACATCACTACCCTCCCAACCAATGTCTCCGGCTACATGAGCGTGGCGAGTACAGGGAGACACCTGTACGTGACAGGTGGGCGGGTCCATCCTCTACTCGGCCAGGGTCCTCATTCTGCTCCATCCAGGCAGGCCTTTCGGTACGATTTCCCTTCGGACACTTGGCTGAGGCTGCCCGACATGCCTCGTGGTAGGGCAGGGCATCAGTCAGTGGTCGTTGACGGGAAAATCTTCCTTGTCGGCGGTGACACTGAGACGATGTCTGTGGCAGTGACCATAGATTGCTATGATCCTGAAGAAGGGGCTTGGATAAAGGACTGTGTGGGCCCGCCATTTGCAACTGTGCTGCCGAAATTACTCACTTCACCGAGCTTGACAGTAACAGTCCATGGGGACAGAATTGTATTCATCAGTTTGTCAAAGATCGTCGATATGTCCCAGTCCCAGCGAAAGAGACAACGAAAACTCTGCATCCATGCATTCGATGTGAAAACCAACGATGTAAAGTATGCCAATATCCTGGTGGGTAACCCAGATTTAGAGGACGTGATTCGTGCAACACCTGTCAATGACAAGCTATACATCCTTGTTGATCAAAATAGATTTGACTGTCTATATATCTTTAATGTTGAAGAGGAGACCCTAACTGCGGGTGATCGACGAGATTGGATAGAGAAAGTCCTTCGCGCAGAAAGGAAGCCCAGCTACCGCAACACGAATGTACCCGAGGGCGTAGTGAATACCATTACCGACTACATGTGGTCAGATACCATGGGTTTTGGATTCGACAAACCCCTTCCCTTTGCCTTACTCGGCCAGAGCTTCCTCCACACCAAGAAGAGCACTGTCGGGTGGTACTGCCGGGACCTTGCAGCACTGGGGAAAGAGGACGAGCAAGAGAATTGAATCATGTAGAAAAACACTTAATGACATCACTTCAAACTCAAAGGCATTAACAAAAGTGCCTGAGGCTCCCATGGCAAAAAGTCACTCATTTTGAGGCCTTGAATTAGACCATTACGCCTTGTGGTATTGGGTCCAAGAACAAATGGACTAGATTAGGCAGACATCATTACAAGCCAGCTTTGTACATTGGTGATACATGTATGTGATCAGATAGGAACAGGTCATGCATTTTGGTCATGTATCTTGTAATTAAAGTTATGTTAATACATGTGGATCCAGGATGTTGCCACCCAAAAGAACTCTGAAAGACACTGGTTCTATTTTCTTTATCCTACCATTTTTCATCAATGTAAGCACCTATTACAACCGTATAATGGAGTATATTCACACAGTAGTATTAAACCGAAGTGGGGGGCTTGATGTCATCTGAGCAGTAACCACCAACTTGTTTGTACATGTAAATCGAGGCTTGTTTTTAGATGTTTAGAGCTCTACCAGGATTTTGCTTGTTGAGGGATCAAGGAACAGAAAAATAAATCAATAGACAAAGTGCTGATGCTGTCAGTGTGTATGTATTGTGTGGAATATAGGTGTGGATGAGGATGTCCAATTATTGCATTTAAATACCTGAACAAACAATACAAGAGTTCAGAGATCTCATACCTCCATGAAATATGGGCTTGACATGTAAATGTAAATTTCTTCTTTAATTATGCAAATTACCTCACATTAACATAATAAATGTATCGTGATGTTAACTTTTGATTAACTTACACATGTACCAAGTATGAAATTCCCATCATTTACGACTAAGGAGTCATAGAATTTTCGCATTAATTATGCAAATTAGACCATAATTTGCATAATTGGTATCTTGATGTTCCATCTGCCATAGATTACATACATTACATGTATGAAAGTACTATAATGTCAAACACTGATTATAGAATTTCCTCATCAATTATGCAAATTTAGTCCTCATTTGCATAATGTGCAGTTAATTATGTACATCTCTCTCTCAGCTACCTACCTACAAAAAATGATGAAAATACATTGTTTCTATCTGGACTTATTGGCTTTTAAAGATTTCGCCCGAAAGTCCCCTGCAGTTCCAGAATCCATCCAGAATCCACAATCCATCAAGGAGTTATGAAGTTATGCTGGCCGCAAATGTGCGGAAACACAGACACACACACACACACACAGACAGACGCGCCAAAAACAATACCTCCATTTTCATGGAGGTAAAAAGGACACTAATCATCTACCGAAAGATGGCAGCTACGGATTATGGGAGCCGTGCAGCAGCGCCTCCTGCCGAGATTAGTCACAAAATAAGTTAGGATAGGTTTAATAGGACACATTTCGCAGAAGGTGTAAAAGTGTATAAAGTTTAACAAAGGTGTAAAACTGAAGCAAAGAACATGTTATTTTGCTTTCTCTTGTTTGGTTATGTTTATCCTCTTGCCCTTAGCTAGTTAGTTTGCAACCAATACCCACAAGCCCGTGTGTGCCAAAACTGGTAGCCGGAAGCTGATCGACCGTTCCAAAAAATAATTAAAGGGGGGGGGGGTGCTGAACAAAACGGATTTTACTTAGGGTGGTTAATAGGTTTGGATTTTGTTGGATTGTACTGAGGGGGTCAAGCAAACTCTTGCAACAGACGGGCTCAAGCATGATCTGGATTTAGATTTTGAGAAAGTAGCAATGTATAGATCTTCAACCCCCCTCCAAATTTAAGTTTTGGAACAGCCCATTCGAAGTTCTCGTCCGAGCTTGCAAGGAGCCTCACCAACAAGAGGTTCTCTTTGGCCCCAGACATCCGTGAACGTCAGAAAACCTGCAGACTTTCAGGACTGAACGTTGGCATCATTTGCAGGTTGGTGGGCTTGTTATTCGCCTAGGGAGTTTATATATGTCCCTGCATTGAAGGAGACTTGGTTTTTGCAAGGAGGTACCACTCGAGGTTGAAGAATTTTGCAAGGAGGGAGAAAGTCCCAAAATAATCTTTCCTTTGTTCATCATAGTTTACTATGTTCGCCGCGAGTGCAAGTGAAGAAAAATTCTACATGAACAGTTGTTATAACCAGCTGAAAATATCGATAATTTGTGATCTATGCACAAATCTCAGTCATGTTGGTCGTGAAGCGAAGAAAAACAGCGTCCAGATGGTAGTCATTTTGTGCTCTACTCAGCCTCTAGCCGATGTTTTCGCACGCCTGTCGAGTGTTCTAAATAAGGCAATCGTCGGAAATCTGACACACATCGCTTCTTGTCGGCCAGGGTTCGGGCTATCTCGGTGTAAATCGGAAGCTGTGACGTCATACCGAGGTCATTTGCATGGAAAAAGCCCGCGAAACCGCGGCGCCATCACAGCGATCAGAGGCGCCGCGCGCCCCAGCTTGATCACAGCTGGATATTTTTGTGATTCAAAGCAAAGGGCACGGCGATTTGTTAGTAAATTCGTGCTCTCTCCCTCCCCTAAATCTCATATTTTTTATGTATGGGTCTATGTTTGGATAACTCAGGAAGCTTAAAAAATTGTGGTAAAATTTGGTACATCGATATGCACATTCTTATTTTTGTGGTTAGGTCTTGACCCATGAGATCCCATGAGGCTGGCAACAAATAATGTATGGAGGGCCTTCATGATCATGAATTACGCAAACTTTTTGCCGTTGATACATGTATTACGAATTATGTCGATTTTTGGGAGGCTGCCTATTACGGAGACTAAAGAGGCCGGAGTGATTACGCCTTACCAAAAAGTGCATGCGGGCCCCCATTTACTCTCCAAGAAGAGGTTTGGGTTTGGAGTTATTTTTGGCATGTTTTTTTTTTCATTTTCATCATATTTATTTGCACTGGAATTTTTTTCGCACCCAACCCAGTGCAAAAGAGAAACCCTGATAAAAAAAAGCCTAAAACTAGAATTCCGAGATCTCATACCTCCATGAAATATGATCTTGATATGTAAATGTAAATTTCTTCTTTAATTGTTCAAATGACCTCTGCATTAACATGATATATGCATCGTGATGTATGTTAACTTTTGATTAACTTACAGATGTCCCAAGTATGACATTCTCATCATTCACCATTACGAAATCATAGAATTTTCACATTAATTATGCAAATTAGGTCATCATTTGCATAATTAGTATCTGTTGAAGTTCCTCCTGCCATAGGTTACATAGTATAATGTAAAACACTGTAATTATAGAATTTCCTCATTTATTATGCAAATAAAGTCCTCATTTGCATAATTTACATTTAATTATGTACATCTCAATCTCAATCTCAATCTTTATTCATTAAGGAACTCGCGGGCAACACACCCGAATTACGTCCTTGTTACACCAGTCACATTAAACACATTTACATTTTAAAACGAATCATCACATAGGTAAAATCTCAATATAAAAAAATCTCTCTCTCAGCTACCTACACACCAAAAATAATGAAAATATGTTGTTCCTGTCTGGACTTATTGGCTTTTAAACATTTCGCCAGAAAGTGCCCTGCAGTTCCAGAACAAGCCGCTAGGGGACCCAAACTCATACGACTTCTTTCCAAGCTCGAGAGCTACCTTCCATCAAAATTTCATGACCCTAGCATGTCCAGATCGCGAGATAATGTAAAACACTGTAATTATAGAATTTCCTCATTAATTATGCAAATAAAGTCCTCATTTGCATAATTTGCATTTAATTATGTACATCTCTCTCTCAGCTACCTACACACCAAAAATAATGAAAATATGTTGTTCCTGTCTGGACTTATTGGCTTTTAAACATTTCGCCAGAAAGTGCCCTGCAGTTCCAGAACAAGCCGCTAGGGGGCCCAAACTCATATGACTTCTTCCCAAGCACGAGAGCTACCTTCCATCAAAATTTCATGACCCTAGCATGTCCAGATCGCGAGATATCAAAACCGGAAGTTGCGCTGCAGTACCAAGGGAAGCCACTAGGGGGACCAAAATCTAATCATTTCCAGTTTTCGTCACACCCTACCAACACACCAAGTATGAAACCAATCCATCCAGGCGTTCTTGAGTTATCTTGTTGACCAACAGACGGACAGACGGACAGATAAACGCAACTGAAACTAGAATTCCGAGACCTCATACCTCCATGAAATATGATCTTGATATGTAAATGTAAATTTCTTCTTTAATTGTTCAAATGACCTCTGCATTAACATGATATATGCATCGTGATGTATGTTAACTTTTGTATTAACTTACAGATGTCCCAACGTATGGCATTCTCATCATTCACCATTACGAAATACATAGAATTTTACTACATTAATTATGCAATTAAGGTCATCATTTGCATAATTAGTATCTGTTGAAGTTCCGCCTGCCATAGGTTACATACATGTAATGTATGTAAGTAGTATAATGTAAAACACTGTAATTATAGAATTTCCTCATTAATTATGCAAATAAAGTCCTCATTTGCATAATTTGCATTTAATTATGTACATCTCTCTCTCTCAGCTACCTACACACCAAAAATAATGAAAATATGTTGTTCCTGTCTGGACTCATATGACTTCTTCCCAAGCACGAGAGCTACCTTCCATCAAAATTTCATGACCCTAGCATGTCCAGATCGCGAGATATAAAAACCGGAAGTTGCGCTGCAGTACCAAGGGAAGCCACTAGGGGGACCAAAATCTAATCATTTCCAGTTTTCGTCACACCCTACCAACACACCAAGTATGAAACCAATCCATCCAGGCGTTCTTGAGTTATCTTGTTGACCAACAGACGGACGGACGGACAGATAAACGCAACTGAAAATATAACCTCCATGACACATTTCATGGAGGTAAAGATGCCAAAAGCAACCCCAATCCACCTCTGCTTGGAGAGTAGCCTCCATTCTCGTCTCTAGGACTCTCACCTATGATCTCCTTGCTATCAAGGACATGATGTAATGTCCATGTTGCTATAAATGAATCACAGACTTGTAGAGTCTTGCCCCCAAAGTAATCTGCTCGAAGAAGAGTTCTTGGCTACCCTATATATAGCTAGATTTTATTGGCTACATAAAGAATAGGTACAGGATTTTGGCTCCCTGTCAGCTTTTTCTTAAAGCTCTTGTTTTACAATGAGCCATGTTCATCATAGTGGACTTTTACTTGCATTCTATTATTGTGTTTCTCTATAGTCATGTCAACACTAGTACTGTTCCGCATTATTTTGTCCAGCAGGTCTCATCAGCAAGCAGGTGACCTGCCGCCATGTTTGGGGGCTACGATGATGAAGATGACAATGCCGGGGATAGCAGCAATGTCCATGAAGATGAAGATGAAGAAGATGTAGATGAAGAAGATGTAGATGATGAAGATGTAGATGATGAAGATGAAGAAGATGTAGATGAAGATGTAGATGAAGATGTAGAAGATGAAGAAGATGTAGATGAAGAAAATGAAGATGAAGAAGATGAAAGTAAAGAAGATGAAGATGAAGAAGATGAAAGTGAAGAAGGTGAAAGTGAAGAAGATGAAGAAGATGAAAGTGAAGAAGATGAAGATGAAGAAGATGAAAGTGAAGAAGATGAAGAAGATGAAAGTGAAGAAGATGAAGATGAAGAAGATGAAAGTGAAGAAGATGAAGAAGATGAAAGTGAAGAAGAAGATGATGAAGATAAAGAAGATGAAGATGAAAGGAACAATAGCTATGACTTTAAAGATGGTTCCTGCTGCTATAAAAACCACACCCAAGGACGCGAGCTCCTTGCTGAACTTGTCAGCCAGCGTGAGACTGGGACATTCCTTGATGTGGTTGTACAAGTCGATGGTAGAGAGTTCCCCTGTCACCGGGCCGTGTTGGCATCCACGCCGTACTTCAAGGCCATGCTGTTGTCAAATCTCACCGAAAGTAGTTCAAGGGTCATACAGCTGCGTGAGATAGACTCCAACAGCTTCTCCAAGATCCTGGACTTTCTGTATACCGGGAAAATCCGCATCGGTAAAGACGACGTCCAGGACATTCTGCAGACGGCACACATGCTGCAATTTGACAAGATTCTGCAGTACTGCCGTGAGTTCATCAACGACAACCTTGATCTATCCAACTGTCTCGGCGTCATGCGCCTGGCCGACATGTATGATTTTCCTGCCATAAAGAGGAAAGCAAGAAACATGGCAGTTTTAAACTTCTCAAACGTCACACAAGATGAGGAGTTCCTCAGCCTTTCAGTGAAAGATCTCGTAGATCTACTTGAAGGCGAGCATCTGAAACCAGTGAAAGACATGAATGAAGATGACATCGTGCATTCTGTAATCAGATGGCTTCACCATACCCCTGAGATCCGTCAAACAGCGATCCCAATGATATTCAAAGAGATCCGTTTATCGTGCGTGAGAGTCAGCGTGCTACAGAAGCTGGAATCACACCCTGCGATACAAGGGTCCGCAGAATGCTTGGCAAAAGTCACAGCGGCTAAGGAGAAACACCTTCTCGGTACAGATCATGTAGAGGTAGAAGATGCGAAAAGTCATAGGCAGGAAACACCAGACAGCTTAGCAATCATTGTCGGCGGCTGGAAGGCAGTCAAGAGACCACACAATCCTCATGACGAGCAGTCCATCCCTCCGCAGCCGACAGCCCTGCAAAGCATAATTTGTTTTGATCCAGACATTCAGCAATACTACGACATCACTACCCTCCCAACACGTGTCTCCGGCTACATGAGCGTGGCAAGTGCAGGGAGACACCTGTACGTGACAGGTGGGCGGGTCCATCCTCTACTCGGCCAGGGTCCCCATTCTGCCCCATCCAGGCAAGCCTTTCGGTACGATTTCCCTTCGGACACTTGGCTTAGGTTGCCTGACATGCCTCGCGGCAGGGCAGGGCATCAGTCGGTGGTCGTTGACGGGAAACTCTTCGTGGTCGGTGGTGACGCTGAGGAGGGGACGTCTTTGGTGACCATGGATTGCTATGATCCTGTAGAGGGGGCTTGGATGAAGATGCATATGCTCCCGCTATTGCGAACTTCATCAACCTTAAAAGTAACGACCTTCGGGGACAAGGTTGTGATCATTGAAGTGCAGGAAAGCGCGGATGACCTTTCGATTGATGGCGATGCCACGTTTCTGCTCGAGGCTCGCATAGGTTCTAGGATCCAGCAAGGTAGGAATCAAGGAAAACTAAGTGTCCATTCGTTAGATGTGAAAACCAATGTTTGGCAACACGCCTATACCTACGTACCCAGGCGTTCTCTGGAGCACGTTGACATTCTCACGACTACTGTACATGACAAGCTGTACATCAGTGGAGGGCTGTATGGCGCCAGATACATCTTCGATGCCGAAGAAGAGACCCTAAATAAGGGCTATGGAGGAGATTTGAAAGAGAACGTCCTCATTTGCGAACGAAGTGGGGACAATTACCGCTACATGAATGGCCAGGAAGCCATCATGGGTACCATTTGTACCTGGTATGGACGCATCTCCACAAGGCATACGCGCCTTCCCTTTGCCTTATTCGGCCACAGCTTCCTCCAAACCAAGAAGAGCAGCGTCGGGTGGTACTGCCGGGACCTTGAAGTACTGGACAAGGAGAAATAGGAATCGGATGATGAGTCTATTTACTCGATCGGAGCTCTGAGGGACTCTTGACTCACAGCCCAAATGTGTGTGACGCAGAAGTCAAAACACTAAAGAACATCACTTGTGTTAACAAATGTGTTAACAAAATACAAAAACGTGCATGGGCATGGGTATGGGGATACCATGTTACTCCCATAGTAAAAAAAAAGCCACTCGCCTAAAATAACACCATGACGTCCAAATGCCAGGATGATGAAATAAGAAGCCATTAGAACTCCAACGCCAGCTACATTTGTATGTACATTGATGGTCCATGATTAGATAGGTACAGGTCATTCATGTCAGATACTTCTTGTATACCGTGATTAAGGTTCTAAATAGAGCCAGGATGTTGTCACCCATGGCCAAAATGTAACTTGCTGAAAGACATTCATCCTATTACATTCTATCTTTATCCTGCATTTTTTTCCTTGATGTTTCCTTCCTATTATTTAGTATGTTCACACAATACTAACCTAAGTGGGGGCTTGATGTCCTCTGAGCAGTAACAATTAACTTGTTTGTAAATCATTGCATGTTTTTAGATGTTTAGAGACCCACCAGGATTTTAACTGTTAATTGTTGAAAGATTAAGAACAGAAAAATAAAATCACACAAAGTGCTGATGCTGCCAGTGCCACATGTATTGTCTGCAATCTAGGCGTGAATGGGGGTGTCCAATTACTAGTATTGTATTTGAATACACGAGAAGAATATGGACACTACTTAAGCAATCATATACTGAAAATCAATCGGTCGGACCCACTGTGAACACATAAACACGATCAATTTCCCGCGGAAGGATACTTGCTCTGACTCGAGCTAAAAACGCCGACGTCTGCTTGAAAGAATACCCATGATTCCGTGCGCACCGAAACTTTTTTTCCCTGTTGGTCTCGGTCGCTTCGTGTCCGAGGCATTTTGATACTTTCATTCACTGACTGAGGGGGCATAAACTGTTGAACAACATTGCAAACACTGCTGTTCTCTACGACGGAATCATTTGCAGGTTGGTTGACTGGCTATTCGCCTAGATCGTTATGTTTTGCATGCCATTATTCGTCGCTGGCGTAACCAGACCATTTAACTTGAAAACCAAATTTGGTAATATATAATTCGTAGCAGCGGCACAAATTTAACGTGGAATCAATGAATATGCTACTTACTAACCCGTAGTTCTTTTGAAGTGTACTTAACGTTTAGTAGGTACATGGAATTTTCTGTAAAACGGCCTGTTATTCGTACTGGTTTCGGTAGTCAAACATGTCTCATACTGTCCAAAGTCTGTCTGTAGTATTGTTTGTTTACTAGTCATGAGGCTTTAGTTTGGGTTCCAGTGGCCAGAATGTTCCAGCGTCTACGGCCTTCTATTCCAGTCATAGTTTACAAAGTACTACGTATTTTGCCTACGTCACACTCAACCTGGTAGGTTACACCGCGCCTGATACCCAACAGCAACATGGTAGCTTTATCATGAAGTGTGTTCATTTTGTTTTGAGATACCGTTCTTTAATTATGACTGGCCTAGTTGTGTGCCTTCATTACGCCAGGAATAGGTAACTTTTTATGTGTGGTTAGAAATACACGTCACAGCCACTCCCATGTCACAAGATTGTCTCAAGCACAGACTAGGGCTACAGTGGTAGGGAATTAGCCTCTACCAGGCTTCGAGAGGCGGCTGGGAAGAGTAGAAATCGGCCAAATAGAGAGATACCATGCCAGGGGAGTTTGTTGGGAGAGAACATTTTGCCGCACCCGAGTGCAGACAAACCCTCCTGGCATGTTATCTCTCTATTTGGCCGATTTCTACGTCGGGAATAGCCTCTACCAGGCACCGTGGGTCGCAAAATGGAGCTTCTCTGGCCGGCTAACTCCCTGGTTTCATTCCTTTATTTCGACCAATTTCTACTATTTTTCCAGCGATCCGCGGTGCCTGGTAGAGGCTACGTCGGGAATGCTTCCTAAAAGATGTGATCAAACTTGTGCACAAAGGGCACAAGCCGCATGGACCTGGCACCCACCTTGTTTGGTTAAATCTATCCTCTTGTACTCTATGTACGCATCAGCTTATTGGCTACCAGCTCTGTGTATTTAAACGTGCCAAAGTCTACTGGTAGTCCTTATATAACAATCTCCGTTACTGCATACAAAGGTCTATGTACTACCGGCTCTACTTTTACCGTTTACTTTTGAAAGAAGACAAAAAAAGGCTGTTTAAAAGAGTACCCATAAGCCCGCGCCCCCCCGAAACTGGTACCCGGAATTTGTTACGTCATTCGAAGTATATTTAAACGTTTGCTGGTCTCGGTCGGTTCTTGTTTGAGGTATTTTTATATTGCATTTTATGTGGACCGAAGTGCCTATGAACCTTTCAATAACATGACAAACGTTATGACTACTGTCTCAGCGGACATTAGGACTGTACCATTTAAAGGTTCGTAGGTTAGTTTCATAAGCCATGTTGATCATGATGGACTTTGGTATAACATATTTTTGCTCCATGTGTATGCATAGAACAGGTACGCCATGTATAAGCCTAGACCATAACAACTCCCTACCGAAACCATAGATATAATTTACATGTTAAACGAGAATCATCTTGTCCAACAGATTCCATCTACTTGATCCGAGTGAACCGCCATGGCCCCACCATGTCCTGGGACTATGATTCTGATGATGACGATTACTATCATGGCTCTGGCTACGACGACTATGAGGACTATGACTATTACGGCTATGACAGCGATACTTCGTATTTAGACAGAAGGAAGGGGGGGACTCAAGAAGACGGCATCCGTCGTTTCGAAAACCACACCCAAGGACGTGAACTCCTTGCTGAACTTGCCAGCCAGCGGAAGACCGGAGAATTCCTTGATGTGGTAGTGCAAGTCGAAGGTAGAGAGTTCCCCTGTCACCGGGCTGTGTTGGCATCCACGCGGTACTTCAATACCATGATGTCCTCAAACCTCGCCGAGAGTAGTTCAGAGGTCGTACAACTGCAAGACGTTGACGCCACCAGCTTTTCCAAGATCCTGGACTTCCTGTATACCGGGAAAATCTGCACCACCAAAGATGACGTCCAGGACATTCTGCAGACGGCACACATGCTACAGTTGGGGAAGATAGTCGAGTACTGTCGTGAGTTCATCGAAGACAACCTCTGTCAGTCCAACTGTCTGGGCGTCATGAGTCTGGCCGACCTTTATGGTTTTTCTGCCTTAAAAAAGAAAGCAAGGGACATGGTGGTGTCAAACTTCCCAGACGTCACTCAGGAAGAGGTATTCACTAACCTTTCAGCGGAAGACCTCACAGATCTACTGGGAGACGAGCACCGGAAAGTCACGAATGAAGACGACGTTGTCGACTCTGTAATCCAGTGGCTCGACGAAAACCCAGGAAACCATCAAAAAGCAATCCTGAGGATTTTACAAGAGATCCGTCTGTCTTGCGTCAAGGTCAGGGTGCTACAGAAGCTGGAGTCACACCCTGTGATACAAGGGTCCGCGGAATGCCTGGCAAAAATCACAGCAGCTCAGTAAGGAGAAACATCTTCTCGGTACAGATCATGTAGAGGTAGAAGATGAGAAAAGTCATAGGCAGGGAACACCAGACAGCTTAGCAATCATTGTCGGCGGCTGGAAGGCAGTCAAGAGACCACACAATCTTATTGACGAGCAGTCCATCCCTCCGCAGCCGACAGCCCTGCAAAGCATAATTTGCTTTGATCCAGACATTCAGCAATACTACCACGTCACTACCCTCCCGACCCCTGTCTCCGGCAACATGAGCGTGGCAAGTGCAGGGAGACACCTGTACGTGACAGGTGGGCGGATCCATCCTGTGGTAGGCCAGGGTGGCCCACCTACCCGATCCAGGCAAGCCTTTCGGTACGATTTCCCTTCGGACACTTGGCTGAGGTTGGCCGACATGCATAGGCGCAGGGAAGGGCACCAGTCAGTTTTCGTCGACGGAAAACTCTTCGTGGTCGGTGGTGACGCCGAGGGGACGTCTTTGGTGACCATGGATTGTTATGATCCTGTAGAGGGGGCTTGGATGAAGATGCATGTGGAACAGCTATTGCGCACTTCACCGATCGTGAAAGTAACGGCCTTCAGGGACAAGGTTGTGTTCATCGAGGTGCAGGAATACACCGAGGACCTAAGTGCGTTTGGCGAACAGTTCGGCGTACAGTTCGGCGTTGCGATGCTGCAAGGGTCTCGCATGGGCTTTAGGATGCAGCGAAGCACTGATGAAGGAAAACTGTGTGTCCATTCGTTAGATGTGAAAACCAATGTTTGGAAACACGTCGCAATCTACGTAAACAGGCGATATCTGGAGAACGTCGACATTCTCTCGACTACTGTCCATGACAAGCTGTATATCCGTGTCGGGTATACATTTATATATGACCTCTACATCTTCGATGCCGAAGAGGAGACCCTAATCGAGCGTGGTGAAGGAGATTGGGAAGAGACCATCCTTCGCACGCAATGTGAGCACAGCGACCGCTACGTAAGACAGGATGGCATCGTGGATACCATTGGCCACTACGAGTTTGGAGCCCGGAGGCAAACGTACAGAGACTACCACATCCCCCTTCCCTTTGCCTTATTCGGCCACAGCTTCCTCCAGACCAAGAAGAGCAGTATCGGGTGGTACTGCCGGGACCTTGCAGCCCTGGGGAAAAACGGCAAACGAGAGCCGGGGTCACTCAGTGAGCCTACTGGAGCTACGAGCTCTGAGTGACTCGAGTTAATTCACGTTTCACGTTAATCGTGTGAGACAGGAAGAAGCCAAACACTTTTAAGTAACATCATTTCAAGAATGAAGGACTGCCAGAAAACCTGGTTGATCAGATAATGTGATCCCCTTCACCCCAAGATCTGCTTGGATCTGCTTGATTAGATGGACATAAACCACTAGTATTTTGTGCCATAAAAATGAGCTCTACATGTACTGCACCAGATCACCGTACTGTGGCAAGGCTATTCTAGTGTTTCCTGCGCTTACAAACAGCTGTGAATATTTTGGATTTATGCATGCTAAGAATGGTAAAGGCCAAATGATCACTGCTGGTATATTGTGATAAACATTGTCAACATGATCTGCTCTAAGATGTTGTTCCCAACAAGTAACTGATCACAGAAGACAAGTTGTGTTTTATCTTATCCTAGATTTAATGCATATGCACGTACCTTATTAAGTATGTATGTTCACAAAACCAGAAGCTAAGTTTGATCACTTGATGTCCTCTGAGCTGAGCAGTAACCACCATTGTGATAAACACCCCTTTGTAAATCATTGTTTATTTTCGGATGTTTAGAGATCTAACAGGATTTTTTCTTTGCTAACTATCATTTGTTCAAGGGTCAATGAACAGAAAAATAAATCAATAGACGAAATGCTGATGTCGTCAGTGTGTATATATTGTCTGGAATCAAGGCGTAAATGATATATTGGTACAAGTACCTTCAAAGCATATTGAAGAGGGTATATAGGGTCATTGCTGTCAGTTTGTGAGCTCTGTATTGTGCCACGGTAAAAGATCTAATATAATACTAGTATACAATTCAAACTTGTAGGGCTTGCTATATTTAAATGCGCCAAGCTAAGTCGTCTATTTGTAGTCCTTATAATGATTAACGTTATCATAACAATCTGAATTGCGGCATACAAGGGTCAACGTACTACAGGCTCTTTCTTTTTGGAATCATTTCTTCGCTTGGGAGGACACATAAACTGAAAAATAGCAAAAACATAGTGCACCTGCTACTATAAACTGGGCTTGCTTTTGAAAGAGGTGAAAATGTCGGCATAAAAGAGTACCCATAAGCCCCGCGCTCCAAAACTAGTATGCGGAAGTTGTCACGTTGGAGGCTACATGTACGTTTCCTGGTTTCGGTCGATTCTTGTTCGAGGTAACCTGACAACATTCTGTGCATTGAGACGTCTTGAACCGTCGAATATAATATTATAACAAACACTGCTGTTCTCTGACGAAAGTAGGACTAAGCATTGGAATCATTTTCAGGTAGGTTTGCAAGCTACCTTCATAAGCCACGTTAAATCATGATGGACTTTTAGACTGATATTGGTCCCTGTATCGAATAGTTGTTGACCCAAATGCACAAAAATGGACACTGTGTGCGTCACAAAATGGCAAGCTATTGTGTTTGTTCTTAGCCGCTCCCATGTCAGAGTTGACACTTTGACATTTCAGTAGTCGCATGGCTCACAATAAGGCTTAAGTGGAAAAACCAGTTACAGCTCATTTACATGCGTAAGTGATTCCGTGGCGGATCAGCGCGGAGATATCTCTGAGATTGCTCTCCGATTTGTGCTTCACAGGTGAGAACATGTTCACTGTATACATTCTAAATCTCCGAGGAAGGTTTATCAAGCTACACTTTATCAACTACATGTATAGTACACAGCAGAAACCGTCTGGAGGTCTATGTGTTACCATAGCTGCTAACTCTGTTTGAAAAGACTAGAATTGTTTTAGTGACAGGCTTTCTCTGACCTAAATCAACTAGAACGATTTACGCTCAAAAGTTCCTAATATCTCGTTCAGAAAGTGGTTTATGGTTGGTGTCAAAGTGGAAGCAATTGGTGGGGTACGTACACATACTGGACGTGACCAGATATCAATTGCAGTCAGTGCATTATCTATGTTCATTCAAGTGAACGATATAAATCGACAATGAGACCGTGCTGATAATTTATCACCGTTCATCATAGCCGATCGCATAGTTCTCTCCAGAACGCCACAGTTTTGTTCTAAGTGCAAAAAAATTGGAATTTGCAATTGCACTATCACGTGACACTCAGTTTCACAAGCAAGCTATGATGTTTACCAGGCTGAAATGGTGCCCCTCCCACGTCAGAGATGTGAAAGTTCATAGTTCACATAAGTGAACCAACAGGTTAGACATGATTGTATGCAGAAGTAACAGGTCTCGATCCCACGTCAGACGTGTTCATTAGTTTGATAAGATATTTTTGTCACGTTCAAACAAGCTTCTAAAAATCACCAGTTTTGAAGCAACAGTTCTGATGCTAAGTTTCAGTGCATAATGATTTGTTTCAGATATAGGATTTAGCGAATAGCGTAGAGAGGTTTATTTTGTTCGGTGTGATAATTGTAAAGAGTCCCTCTAAATTGTAGTCCTTCTAATGATTAACGTTATCATAACAAACTACATACAAGGGTCTACGTACTACAGGTTCTTTCTCTTTGGAATCATTTTTTCCTTGGGAGGACACATTAACTGAAAAATAGCAAAAACATAGTACACATGCTATCATAAACTGGGCTTGCTTTTAGAAAGAAGTAAAAAAAAAAAATTGTCGGCATATACCCATAAGCCCGCGCGTTCCGAAACTGTCATGCGGAAGTTTTCACGTTATATTATTAAAGGGAACATTTCCTCCTCTCGCGCTCGGTCGGTTCTTATCCGAGCTTTAAGTATCTTGATAGCATTCCATGCATTTAGACGTGTATGGAGTGAAGAATTGTCAAACGTTACCAAACCCAGCTGTTCTCAGTGGAAAACAGGGCTGAACATCGGACTTACTTGCAGGTTCGGGTGGGCCAGCTAGCTTCATAAGGTTTGATAGTGGACTTTGACATGTAATTATGTTTCCAGGTGTTTCAAAAAGAGAAAAGAATGGGCAACTAACAATAGATGATAGGTACTCAGTAGTATATAGAATTGTTGTAATGTATAGATCCCTAGCGCTTAGCATTAGATTATAGCGTTCCAGTATGCAACACTCATGTTTTGCATACTGCATATCCTCTTGTGCATTTAAATTTAGCCCTTCTGGGCAAGAACATGCAATAAAGATTCATATCATATATTGTACATGTATACGTACTGATTTGCGTCGCAAGATTGTGTCTCCCTGTAGCCATGTTAAAACTTCCCTGCGTTTATTTCTGTCCAGCAGATTTCATACTAGAATACCAAGGAAACGCGGCATGCTCTGGAGCTATGATTCTGATACCTCGAGTGACGACAACGACTATAAATTTAATGATGAATTCGTTCGGGTTTGACTGATTCTGCACCTGATAACCCGTACCACGACAGTACAAGGGTGGTAATCCCTACAATGGCCCGCAGAAGGAGAGACAGAGAATCAGACGACTATGATGAATTGGACCAGATAAGTACTATGACCTTGACTGATTCTACACCTGATAACCCGTGCTACGAAAGTACAAGGCCGCCAGTACCCCCACCATTCCGCAGAAGGTGCTATATGGAATCTGATGACAGTACGCCGCCGCCGCCAGTGCGTATACGCCCACCACCCCCACGAATACGATACCGCAGAAGGTGCTACATGGAATCTGATGACAGTACACCGCCGCCGCCGCCAGTACGTATACCCCCACCACCCCCATCATACATGGAATCTGATGACGGCTCCCGTCTCTATGCCAACTACCTCCATGGGGTCGAGCGTACCCATCTTGCTAAACTTGACAACCAGAGAAAGGCTAGGAAATTCCTTGACGTGATGGTACAAGTCGATGGTAGGGAATTCCCCTGTCACCGGGCTGTGTTGACATCCACGCCGTACTTCGAGACCATGTTGTCGTCCAACTTCTCTGAAAGTAGTTCAAGAGTCATACAACTGCGTGAGATAGACCCCAACACCTTCTCCAAGATCCTGGACTTCCTGTATACTGGGAAAATCCGCATCGGTAAAGACGACGTCCAGGACATTCTGCAGACGGCTCACATGCTACTGTTGGACAAAATTGTGGAGCACTGTCGTGAGTTCATCGAGGACAACCTCTGTTCGTCCAACTGTCTGGGCATCATGCGCCTTGCCAACCTGTATGGGTTTTCTGCATTGAGGAAGAAAGCAAGGAACATGGCAGCGTCAAACTCCCAATACGTTACACAAGATGAGGAGTTTCTTGGCCTTTCGGCACAAGAGCTCGCAGATCTACTCAGAGGCGAGCATCTTTTTTTGTATTTTCTTTTTAAGAACGAAGTCGAAGATGACGTTGTCAGTTCTGTTCTAAAATGGCTCGACCATGCTGAGCACCGTAAGTCCGAAATCCTCATGATTTTACAAGAGATCCATCTGTCTTGTGTGAGAGTCAGCGTGCTACAGAAACTGGAGTCACACCCTGTGATACGCGAGTCCGCAGAATGCCTGGCAAAGATCACAGCAGCTAAGGAGAAACATCTTCTCGGTACACAGGTAAAAGGAGAAGATGCAAGTGTTCCTAGACGCGGGATATCGGACGATCTGGCAATTATTGTCGGTGGTTGGAAGGCAGTCGGCAGAGAGCCAACGCCCATGCAAAGTATAATTTGCTTTGAACCAGACTGTCAGCAATACTACCACATCACCACCCTCCCAACACCTGCTTCTGAGTACATGAGCGTGGCAAGTGCAGGGAGACACCTGTATGTGACAGGTGGGCGGGTCCATCCCGTGGTCGGCCAGGGTCCCAAATCTTTCTCCAGGCAAGCCTTCCGGTACGAGTTCTCTTCGGACACTTGGCTGAGGCTGCCCGACATGCCTCGCGGCTGGGCAGGGCATCAGTCAGTAGTCGTTGACGGTAAACTCTTCCTGGTCTACGCGACGTCTTTGATGACCATGGATTGCTATGATCCTGAAGAGGGGGCTTGGATGAACATACACGTGCGACCGTCACTGCGCCCTTCATCGAACTGGATGGTAACAGCATCCGGAGACAAGGTTGTCATTATCGTGTCAAAGTCAAAGATCACGGACGTAAAACACGGTTGCTTCTCGTGGTTCGAAGAAGAAGGTGGACTTGAGATTGAGGGAAAGTTGTGTGTTCTTGCGTTTGATGTGAAAACCAAAGGTTGGAGCTACGTCGATATCCAGATGGATGAAGTCAAGTCAAGTCAGTCCTTGGTGGAGGACATGGACATTCGCACTACTACTGTCACTGACAAGCTTTATATTCGTACTGAATATACTAGTACCCAGCATTCCAACCTTTATATCTTCAACGCCGAAGAGAACACCCTAACGAAGGGTGATAGAGAAGATGGGTGGGTGTTGGAAGGGGACGTCCTTCGCGCGAAATGTGAGCACAGCTACCGCAACGTTAGAAAGAAGACCACGGGCTTCGCCATCGTGGACACCATTTGGTATGGGTTACGTCACAGGCAGACGCCCCTTCCCTTTGCCTTATTCGGCCACAGCTTCCTCCAAACCAAGAAGAGCCGTGCCGGGTGGTACTGCCGGGACCTTGCATCACTGAACGAAAGACGACGAGGCTCAGCGTGTAAAATCAGACGGTGAGTCTATTGAAGGCCTATTGAGACTTGGGCCCTATACGAGACATAAAGAGCCCAAAATGCACGCGAGAAGACTTGAGCCTTATTGGTGTTAGCGAGGCAGAACTCAAGAGACCACATGTAGACTATGAGTTCTTGCAAATGTTTGCCTCATTGATTATGAAAATATGGTCGTAGTTGCCATAATCTATATTAATTTATGGTTTTATAAACTCAAAGTACAATACATTGCGTGTGAAATTCATATCCTTTGGCAATGTTTCATTTCAATGTCCTCATTACCTTCGCCAAGAAGGTTATGTTTTCAGAGGCGTTCGTGTATGTGTGTGTGTGTGTCTGTCTGTCTGTCTGTAAACACGATAACTTGAGAAGGCCTTGATGGATTGTCCTGATACTTGGTAGGTGGATAGGTCTTGATGAGACCTCAAAATGATTAGATTTTAGACCCCCTAGCGGCTTGTTATGGTACTGCAGCAGAACTTCCGGTTTTGATATCTCATGATCTAGACATGCTATGGTAATGAAACTTGGATGGTAGGTAGCTCTTGTGCTGGGGAAGAAGTGACGTGAGTTTGCTCTGGAACTGCAGGGATATATTCTTGAAAATATTCAAAAGGGGATAACTCAAGAACCGGTTGACGGATCGTCATGATTTTTGGTATGTAGGTAGCTTACGTGATGCTTAATATAATTATGTGACAATTATGCAAATATGGATGTAATTTGCATAATTTATGGGGAAATTCTATAATTCAGCTGCATTCCATGATACTTGATAGGACAATTGAAGCTTGTGACATTGGTAATTGACAACGTGAATCACAGGCAGATATTGATTATGTTAATAATGACTTAATTTGCATAATTAATGAGAACATTTCATAATTATGTAATGATAATTGTCTGGAATTTCATACTTGTGGTATTTGAAAGTTAAGTTGAGGTGAACATCATTAAACATAATTTATTCAAATCAGGACCTCATTTGCATAATTAATTAGGAAAAACTAGAATGCATTGTTTGTTAATATAAGACTGTCTTTTGGTTTAGATTATGATAAAATGATATAAATCATGAAAATTAGATTCCTATTTGTTACGTCAGGGGGGAATAATCTAATGTATAATTTGTCAGTCATAAAGATTAACATCATTTGGCGAAGGTATGAGATCGGGGAACTCTAGTTAATTATGCAAACGACACCAACATAAACATAATATATGCATAGTGATGTTAACCTTTAAGTAACCTATCATTCACCATTAAGGAATCATAGGATTTTCACATAACTTATGCAAATTAGGTCATTATTTGTATAATTGGTATCTGTTGGTGTTCTGCCAGCCATAGATTACATAAAAAAAATTATAAATACATGTATGAAAGTACTTTTATATAAAACACTGTAATCATAGAATTTCCTCCTTAATCATGTCAATTAAGTCTTCATTTGCATAATTTGAATCAAGTTATGTACATGTACATCTATCTCTAAGCTACCTACATACAAAAAATGATGAAAATACGTTTCTTTCTGAAGTTATTTCTTTTCAAAGATGTTGCCAAACTCCCCTGCTGTTCCAGAATCAGCCGCTAGGGAGATAACCCACACCAGTTATTCCTGATAGGGAAAGCTATCTGTCACCAAAAAGTAAATACCATAGCATGTTCAGGACAGAAGATACAACAACCGGACGTTCTGCTGCAGTACTAAAGGTCAGCCACCAGGAGGCCCATATTTGACCTCGACCTTTGTCTTCCTACAACCTACCAAATATCATTAGTGTTCTGGTGTTATGATGACTACCAATGTGCGAAAACACACACAGACCAAAAACAATACATCCATTCTCCATGGAGGTAATAACATCAATTCAAGGATTTGTGTCTTGTGTCAAATTGCGGGTGCCAATATCATGCCATGTTACACCCATTGCAAAAAGTAAGTCACTCATTTTGAGCTGTAAAATAACGCGATGCCTTTAGGGATCAGGCCCAATGTCAACAATAACAATCCTTTGAACTCAAAGTTCAGTGATGAAATTGACCAAAATTTTCTAACGAAAACAATTCATCGTAGGACCCTTTCCCACCATTGTCTCTATGACAATGGATTTTGTTATATTTACATTGTGCTTTGAGTTACATCATGGAGGTTTAAGGCTCTATTATACCGCCATACTTTCATATAGCATGTTGTGCTATAAAAATGCTAGTAATATATGGCACATTTTATTCATAATAGGGCCTAAGAAAAAATGTTTCCTGTTTCGGTCCTGAAAAATTAGGGTCAGAAGGTAGGGATTATCATTTTTTTTTGGAGACTTCAGCAATCTCAACTCTAGTGATCCTACTTAAACATTATAGTTTAACAAAGTAGCATAAGGACAACTATATTTCCAATGTCAATGTTGGAAAAACGATTGTACAACACTTCATCACTTAGGTGTTTGATCATGAAGCTAAAAAAGATCAGCTCTATGTCCCTCGCTGGGGTCCACAAAAGTCTCGGTTCGGCAGTTTTTTCTAGGGTTGGCCGGGAAACAAGATGTCAGCTAGAATTTTTTCCTAGGCCTAGTTGTTTTTTTGTTTTTTTTTTGTTTACATCATTTTAAAGTGCTAAAATCAATCCTGTTAGCTACCACTGTTTTGGACTCCAATATATTTAACACACTTGCTCAAATGTAAATGGCTGGATTTTATACAAGAGTATGTACACCTGAGCTGGAGATGCAAATACATGTATATGGAATAAACTGTTTTTGCCACACCAAGTAAGTTTAATGGATGACGTCCTCTTGAGACCCTACATCTAAATTGGGTGCAAAAACAAAACAAGATGCCTGGATTTGAAAGACGACAAATGTAAGAGGACAGAAATTGAACAAGAACTCAACCAACCAGTCTTATGCGTACAATAAATCAGTGGCATACACAGCAGTTGTTTCTTGTGCTCATTTACCCATTTTGCATTAACTTTTCTGGTTTCACGTTAACCTTATGATTTGCAGCACTGTCGTGACTGTTTGGACATTGTAACGAGAAGCAAATTTTTTTTCTGCGAACTGGCCAAAATCAATGAGCACCCAAACATCATCCATAAAAATTAGTTGGTGTGGCCTTATGCTGTGTCATCCTCCTGATTGAATACAACTCTACACTGACTTGAATGTTTTATATAATGAATAGCAACAGAACATCAACAAATAAAACGGAAGCCAGCAAACATTTCATTGGAAATATTTAATCTTTCAAGAACGGTTCAAACGAACAAACTTGAAAAACATTTGTCATACAGTTTCTTACAGTTCTTTTTTTAACAAAGGGACATCCAGTAGACAGCCAAGTCCCCACTTCCTCCCGTACCTGTAAAGTAGAAGAAATATGCAAATTACATCAAAGAAACAGTTGACTCATAATCAAGAAAATGAGTATTATATACTATTAAGATGGAAGCTCATAACTAAATGTTCATTATGAAATTAAGATACCAGCACTCTAGTGCATACTGTTATCTGTATACTCTGTTTATGGAATACAGTAAGTGCATTGATTACATTGTGAAAATACATTAAAATTTGATATTTTGTAATCCATCAGGAATGCCGTGTGCATCAGTCCTATCGATCCATATATTTGTTTTTTCATAATCAGTCTACACTTGTCATAAGAACCCAAGTCATCATCTGCACAGTGGCATAGTAAGTGAGCAATATTTAGGAAGTCAGAATAAAATGTTACACATGAAAACTTTGCGTACCTTTCAATTCTTGCTTGGCTGGTCTGCAAGTCCTGCAGTCATAAAAAATAATAAAAAGATGGTTAGGAAAATAAGTAATAAGATTCATAGACAAGATTTCAGTTGTTTTTTTGTGGTCTTGCAGTCAGTGTATGCTTTTCTAAACATCATCTATTCATTTGTCCCTATCTGCAATACATGGTCATCACACTGCAAGACCTGCAATTATTAATATTATCAGTAAGTAACAAGGTAATAATACTTCAGCTACATGTGTAAAACTCATTCACAAAATGTTATTTCCAGAATACATGTATCAATATACAGATTATGCGACATTTTAGGGGGAGACAGGCATATACATGTATTACTTTCAGCTATAACATTGAAATAAAAAAGGTTGATTTTCCCACACAACCAATAAAAATTGTTACAACATGTAGTGTTCTAGCCAGTATCCATCTTTTTGTCATTTAATGGGTTTTTGCCACTAATGTTGGACAAGAGTTTTCACCCAATCTGCCTTCTTTGACGGATAAAAATTGGCTGGTAAAGATATGTAAAGGGATGTTATTAAACTAAGCTTACTCTACCAGCAAAATTTGATGCTCTAAAAATGCAGAAAAAGCTTTTTGGGACCACCCTTTTGTGCACTTGGAGTCACGTCAAACAAAATTGAGATGGAAAAAAAATTCAGGCTGACTAGAACACTGGCTATGTGCTACTAATAAACATATAAGTGACTTAATTAATGTACAAAGTACATAAATAATGTACACCACTTACATGCAATATGTGTCCTTGCTGATACATTTGCTGTCATTCTGAGACAAAAAATAAAAAGACACAAGGTCACAACTCAAAGGAAACAAACTCCTTCAAACTGTTTCTATACACTGAACTTGCAACATCAGAGTAGGTTAGGGAAAAAACACATCACACTAATGTCAGTAGTAGTTAGTTCATCATGTTACAAGTCACACGCTAGCACTACACTAAGTTAAAGTTAAAATTAGTTTCTGTTAACGCTAAAACAAAACATTAAGTAACAGCAAAGCAGGTAATGCTTACATGTTAACTTGGCTTTCCAGGTTCGATACTTTGTGTATAGAGTCAGTGACGCCACCTGGTAAAACAAGCAGAAATTGCACGAACACGTAAGCACATTTACATTGACAAGTAAAACTGTATACATGTAGCAGTACTAACTCAATGGTGGTATCAGAAGTACAATTTGTCTTCACATTATTTCAGTGAGAGAGTTCAATATTTGTCATCATGTACCTTTCAAATTATTTAGGCTATAAAAAAAGTGTAATACATTGTTCAACTCGCACAGAGAATTAGCTATGCACTGTTATGTATTCTGTGAAAAGTATATTAGTCCAAATTACTTACTTCCAGTCCACAAATCCTATAACTGTTCGCCTCTTAGAACATACTGTATACGGAAAAAAGGGAAATGCAGTTAAAATCAAAATCAAATCAATTGCTTCCTACATCAAACTTGTTAAAAGCTGGCAAACAACCGAAAATGTTTCTAACATTAGTTTTAAGCTACCAGTTTACATTCAACACCTACGGTATAATACAAATAATACACAAAACAACACCTCAGAGTTTAGAAACTACGGGCTAGATGGTCATATCACTGAGACCCTCATTTGGCAGAATTCTTTCATCACTGGTGTTGTTAAGTGTACTTTTATAAGTACACATGTCAGAAATAAGGATGTTCTCTCTTCACTGGTTATCAGAGAGATTCCCATCATCCTTAGTCATCACTCACTGTGTACCACATCATTACTTCCTGTGTACTACATCATCACTTCCTGTGTACTACATCATCACTTACTGTGTATACATCATAACTTACTGTGTACATCATCACTTCTTGTGTACTACATCATCACTTCTTGTGTACTACATCATCACTCACTGTGCATCACATCATTGATAACTGTGTACAACATCATCACTTAGGCCACACCAATTTAATTTCTTGGTTAACGGATTTTTCTAGAAAAAAAATGGAGCGGGCGGGCGAAAAAAAAATAAAAATAAAAATTTGAGACCACCTGCCATACAGCCATGTAGTAAGCAATCCATTAAGTTAAGTTACAAAATGATATAAGACATTATATTAGACACTTATTGAACTGAAAGGACCATTACTACATGTACATGAGCAACTTCTCTTACATCCCTTTACAATTATTCGTATTATTTTGCAAGATACACATCTTTACTGTATGAACAACAAACTGTCACTGAGTGTCAGTTGACAAGACTCCCATCCAACTGGTTTCACTTTTATTCATCTTTCAAAGTTCCAAAGAGTGGTTTAAATCAGGGTGCTCTGTTCAGATCCCATTGTTTTCTTAGTTCAGGGCACACAGCTTACCACTGGGCTGGGCATTCTATTGTGTCTGGCTGTATGGAAGTTATTTAGAGCTTGAAATGTACAATATCCTAAATATATGCTTTAGACAAATTTCCAGGATCTCCATGTGTAAAAGTTATTGGCAAAAGAATTAACTACTTTTACACTAAATTACAGATATTTTATTTCTTTTTTTATCTTTGCCCAATTCCCAAATACTACCGGTAGTATACATTTTATATTCCCCATTATACACTTTAGGTATGCTACAGCTACATTATACTAGTACATAGCCATCATTCAAACAAATAGCCACATTGACACACTCTTCAAGTTGCCACAAATTCAATGGTCTAGGGTTTCACTATAAAGTCTTTGATGTAATGGGGATTTTTATTTGTAGGGGGAACCATTTTATTAAAAAATTTAGATGTAATAATTGATGCATTATTTGCAATTGTACTCCTGTTTATAGGTATCTAAATAAGATATAACTTTGTTAAAATGCCACATGCACATGTAGTATTTTTCACAGAGTAATTTCTATAATTAAAAGAACCTGTTTCCCCCTACTCGAAGTGGACTCTTCCGACCGTGAGAAAGTTAGTGAATGGACTTACGTGCATGGAGGACTTTTTACTTTGCCAAATTCCCATGTTTGTGGTAGGATTTTGTACTTTTTGAGAGTAATACAGTTTGTGATGCCAGAATACATTGTTATGTCGTGTTATTTTTACATATTCCCTGGAAAAAAGATCGTTTTGAAGGTGTGTGTGCATGTGCCGCCCAGGCCGAGTTTATACGTTCGGCCGATTACTTTTAACGCCCGTTACTAGCACATGTTTCCGACACAATACGTGTTTCTAAATGAAATATAATATATATCTAAAAGGGAGATGATATGTTGTTACAGGCACGATGACTTAATCTGCCGTACGTTTGACTGTCGTCAGTGAAGTTTTGTCCCATGAATGGTGACATGTGCGAAAGGGGTGGGGGCGAGTTCTATATACAAAATTAATTTTTTTTGACGAACTTTTGAAGAGGCAACCTAGCTTTCCGAAGAAATTGCACAAAGAAAAATATTTCTGCCTTGAAGCAATGTATTTTTAACGCTGTTAACTATGCCCAAATTTTGAAAAATTACAACGTACGGGGTGGATTTTGGGGCCCCAATTCGGGACCCGAGAGTATGGATTTTTGTTCTGTTTTTATTTTTATTTCATTTTGGCAAAAAAACGAAGCGGCGAATCCGTTAACCAAGGAAATAAATTGGTGTGGCCCTACTGTGTACTACTACTACATCATTACTGTGTGTACTAATGATGTCGGCAGAACATAGGCAGAACATCTCGTTTAAGGTTATACTCCCATAATATTTAAGGGTGAAATTGTTTTAAAATGTGTTAGAAAAAATATTTCATGCAATGTTGGCAAAACAAGAAGTTTGAAAAAGCTAGGTTTCAAGCAGGCACAGTGCATTCTGCTGACATGCTCACATAGTGCCATACAATCACCCAATGTGTACTACAAAGATTTGTTTACAAATAAAAGTTTTTCTTGCAGCATAACTCAAAATTCTTCCACACAGAAATGACTTAACTTACCAACTGATAACTGTCCTTCAGAATAAGGTAGGCCTTGATATCCATTTTCCCTATCAACACAAAAATTATCATAAATACAAATACAATCCATATGATCTACCAGTATATGCGTAATACTTGACTATGCCTCAGATATATACGGGCTTGATGTAGAATCATGGATTTCATATTGGCAGAATCGAATTTCATCATTGGCATAGTACACATCACTATATGGTTAACTTTGGAAGAACTGCCTTTCAAAACAATCTTTTTGACAGAAGTTAGTTTTCATGTATGCAGCCTGGTTCTAAGTATGACAGTCTTTAGTCTATACATTTGTACATTTGTAGACATCACTACATTTTCCCAAAACAAGTGGATGTCTTCTCTTCCACCTGAATAATGTAGATTAAAAAAAGATCTAGAAAATACCTTTTCTGGGCAGCTGCTTTATGTGCCAGTGTCTTGTTCAGTCTAAAAAAAAGACATTTAAATTTATTAATATATGCTAATTGAGCTAGTGCCTTGATGCTCACTACATGCTGAATGATACATGGTCAGATAGAGCTAAAAAGTGAACATCAGGAAGTTCAGCGTTGGTGGAAAGGATCATCATACCCATGTCAATCTAGTTTTGTTTCTAGGAGAAACAAACAGCAAGTTTTCCCTATATCAATGATAAAATATAGCCTTGTTTTTACATTGCACAGCATACTTTATGCACAACACTCATGCATACATGCACACAATCATACATGTACATACACTCTTCAGCTACAATGTCACACACACTTCAGCTACAATGTCAGCTTAAAAAACGTTTCTAAATCTTTCTTTCAGAAAAGTATTACGAACCTCATGAATGAACGGCAGCATCGTTAATGTCATTTTTCCTGCCACATCTGCAACAAAAAGGGCAGGGTTAGATACAAAGGAATAAAAAGATCTTGCGATCATTTCGGAGTTATCAAGGCTGTCTCAGACGGACAAAAACGTCCCCATGGTTGGTTTGCGTGGAGAGTCAGTTAATGGGCAATGCGATATGCAATCATCACCGAAGCCTTGTCTCAATGTTCTTAGAAAAACTTTTGCTTCATCTTTCTTTTCTTGGACGTTAATAAAAGCAATGAAACTTTTACACCGTTCGTTATGAACTAAGGACCTATTAATATTTTAACAAAAATAAAAATCTAAATGCGTACCTTGGTGGACCCTGCTAGTGTTAGGCTGAAATAAGATTTAAAAAGACGGATGTTACTTTAAAAAAAATAATAAATGGTTTATGCTATTGGCCAAGCTTGGTGCAATCAGATAGGGGCGAAATGTTTTTCTTCACTTACATTCTGTTGAACTATGAAATCATCATGTTGTCCAAGCTTTCTATTTCCCCACATCTTACCACTTGAAAGTAGAGTTAAAAATCATTAAATGCACAATAAATTATCTGCTTTGTTACACATGGTAGATCTTTTCTAGATCCGAAATTTAAAAGAGCATTAGTTTTTTTTTTTCCAATCGAAGTTCCAATCTTTTCAGACTGCACGTATTAGGCAAACATACCCTTAATTTTTATGTCCTCAGATGTATACATGGTTTCCTCATGGCCTTATCCTTTTCAAAGGACTAGCTGGGCTCCGTGGAACAACTGCATCTGAAACGAATGCAAAATTGATTTGTACAGTAACATGATGAAACAATTGGGTTTGAAGTGATGTGGACAGAGTTAGGGGTGAAGTTGCTTGTGTTGACCTCAGGTGACACTTGTGGTGGTCGGTATTTTTCGTCACATACGCAATCATGAGTAGCAAATATAAGCATCATCGGTCAACACATTCTAGGAAAGCTTGTTACAGTTACCAATACAGTATACTTAAAGTACTGTAATTAAAGTTGTGCTTTCCTTGTAGTGGACTTATTTTTCAGTGAACAAAGGGAAATGTTTACTAGTACAAGTACACACCTTGGTGTCAGAAGACTCCTTATACTGCACATGACGTCCAGCTGTAACATACCAAAAGAACAGATTAAACAAAATTGCAATTTCTAGTTAGTATCTGAGTCTGAAGACTGAAGCTTGGAGGTCAGATAGGGGCGAAATGTTTTTCTTCACTTGCATTCCGTTGAACTATGAAATCATCATATTGTCCAAGCTTTTATACAATGTAACACATAGTTACTGCTCTTCTTAATTTTTGACATCTTTGTGTTTCAAATGATACCTACCAAAATATCATGGAACGGGGCCTGCTGAAATTATTGGTGTTCTCTGTGTCCATGGTACACGTGCGAGATGTGCTGTCCAAGAAGATAAAAATGCTGCATGTGATATGATATAATGACTTGTACAATTAAATTCTATGATATATGTGGCAAGACATATACTGTTATTCAATGCCTCAGCTTGTTCTGTAGTAATAGTGAACGAGAAACTTGTATCAACAATTTGATTCTGAGCTCCTCGGAGTTCTTCAGAGGCAAAGAATGATTGAATCTATATTAGACTATAGTACAAAATGTAGTTCGCTACAAACTAACTAAAACCTTAGTTAAGGTAACCTAATTTTCTATGCATTTACTTCCATAAAAATAAAGAAAAACACATGAACCAGTCAAAAAGAAATCTGTACCTGAAAACTCCAGCACTGCTTTTCTTGACGCCATCTTGACCTTGAGAAAAGATTAAAATTTCTTGTTTCAAAATCTGCTGATGAGAATTTGAACTTGACTACACAATTTTTGTGGTAAAGGTGATAGCCTCAGGAAGCATAAAATCACCACAGTCAAGTCATGACCGCCGAATTAAGTCCTCATCACTGGCTTGAAGATCAAAGATTTGTATAAAATTTTCACATGGGCAGCAAACAGATGCGGTGAAAGGGCTGGGAAAATTGTTAGAAAATGAAGGGGGAGGGACTAAAATTTATGAACTACGCAACTGTTACAAATTCATTTTTTTAAGTGACGTAGTCAGGAAAGTCTGCCACTGAAAATGATTAAAACATTTCCCAGACGAAGACCTTAAACTATTATTATAGTTTTAAGAACGCAAAACGGGGTCCGCTGAAAGGGGCATGGTTGAAAAAATTTATGCACAAACTGGTGAGCCAGAAAAGTATATTTGATTGAAATCTGACCATTTCAGAGCAATTTTACTTCATACGTCGCAAAAACGCCTAAATTTTCCCAAGCATCACATCTTATTGCGTTACAAAATAACTTAAGACGATGGAGAAGTCAGATTGCAAAAGGATGGCATGGATTTTAACTCGATGGGCGGAGGAGATGGGCAAAATTTTCTGTGGCGGCGAGAAGCCATGCCATGATCCCGCTAACACGTGGGCATGCAAACTCCCAATTTTCGCTACATTTCACATAAATAAAGCGTTACAAACCCTCCCGTCTAAAGCATAAGACTTAATATAAGCCGGCAACATGTATCTTGGGCTTCTAGAAAGAAAATCAAAGAATATTCTGGAGTAATTACAAAGTTACATAACGGAGCACGTCAGGTACCAACCTTCGGACGAGACAGCAGCCTGGAAGCTTCGGGGTCAAAGTGCATTGCAGACGAGTCCAACTGAAATAGGGGTGACGGACGAGTCCAACTGAAATAGGGGTTACAGACGAGTCCAACTGAAATGGGGATGTCTCGTGCGTTTCGGAGAATAAGCCTTTGAGATTTGATTGTTATGAATCAAATTATCTACCTGCTCAGATCTATACAAATGGAACATATAACGTTAACGTTACATATATATGATCAAACTACAACATGTAACGTTATAATGTTATACATGTAAGTCTAAATACTGGTGTAAAAGCAATTATGGGATCGGGTGATAAGTTCTGCTTTGTTGCAAGTTACTAGTATAATATTTCAAGTTTTTGCGTTGCATCGGAATTTTATTTAAGACTTTATACCCCTAAGTTATCACTGATTTTTTATAGTCTCTCAGCTTTTCCTTCTCTCTCACTTTACATATTAAAATAAATAATTTTATATTTGGTGCATATGGTCCACATGTCAAGTTATCTCGTATAGTACCTGTCTAGTACATGTATCTATATTTCGAATAACAGTTAGACGTGTTTTTCTCTCCGTGTCATGTAGGATGTAGTGTTGTAACTTGTATGTAGGACCACACACCACAGGAAGAATAACAACCATGTATTGGATCCAAAAAAAGTGAGCTTCGTTGTGTTTACAGTTTCCCAGTTGCACGTGTATTTCACATGTTCCACGCTGAAATGTGCTTTAAGCCTGCTTGGTGTAACGTTAACAATTAACGTTATAGGATTCCATGTATCATGTTTTTTGTTTGTTTTTTGTTTGTTTGTTTCATGACAGAGAGATCCTCGCGGGTCTTCTATTTCAGGATTGCAGATTTCATCGTCACTTTTAGTAACCGTTCGTATGCCTTCATGGGTAAAAATTACTGTAGTTCAATTGACGTGGCCGTATAATATTGCACCAAGTCAATGAGACAACCAGAAAACATTGAATCATCAAAGATACAAGTGTCATCATTTTATCACTCTGAGTAATCATAACTCACCGTTTATTGCACGTGGCAGTACATAATTGCTCCAAGTCAACTATTTCTTCAGGGAAACCCTTCACTTCCGGGGTCCCCCGGACGATTTTCGCGGATATGACGTCAGAGATTCTCTACACTGACGTGTATTTTTTCGCGGAGCGAGTCACATGCTGGAGCTTGACCAATCAGAGGAAGACATTTGGATGAGGTGACCAATCAGGAGCAGACATGTTGAAAGGGCTCGGCCAATCAGAGCGCGACACGATCCGGGACGTGGGGAGTGAAATATCGAATGCAATCGGCACAGCGTCACTTTCAACGAGGAAAAGACGACGTGGAGAAGACAGTAGACGAGTAAATTGATCAGATTTAACAGTGTGACAGCTGTTACCCGACTTTCAACAGACTGAGAGCCAACACAGCCAATCCAGGTAAGCACAGATGTCTTTAACTTGGATATTTTTGGTCAATAATTTTATAGAGAGGTTTTTATTTTACCAAGGTGCGCACATGTGACATGGCGGCCATGCCAGCCGGCTTTTTCAGAGTTCCGGGTTTGTCTGAAATCTTGCAGTTCCTTCTCAGAACCAGTGAAACTTGTGTGTAGTCGATGTATAACGGGAACCATTACACCTGTGAAAAATTGAGTCTTTTTGCCGCAAGTTGTGTCCTATAACACTGTTAAAAGTCCGTACCAACGTTTCCGGAAGCTGAAAAAAAGGGAAAATCTTACCTTGAGGATATCTTCCGCCGTATTTCCAAAACTCTTAAGTTACAAGGTGTGTAGGATAGTACTTGTACAGCGAAAAATTTCTGCCATACCTTAAGACTTAATCCGAAATCAAGGCCGCTACTTTTACCAGGTAGGTTTATGTATGGGGGAGGGGGGCGTTTCGTGGCTTACCGAACTGCGGGTCCATCATGATCCAAGTTGCGAAACGACCCGTCTTGAATTGAAGCGAATTGAAGGTAGCCACTGGCAAAAAACATATTTAAGTTTGGAATAGGAGTGACGGTACGTTTTACACAGTACCATTTCCCCTCTTGTCAAATATTGAACATCCTGTTTCTTAATTTAGCATTTTAAGTTTTTTTTTTTAAATTTGCCTTTTAAATTTGATGCAGATGGCACTTGTCAGTCCATGTGATTTCTTACATATCTGGACCACATTTACATGTTGGCCATGTCAAACGATAAAATTCATACACCACTGAAGAGATCATACATTCAAATATGACTGCAACACAAAATGCAATTTTCAGTCATAACATACAGTTACGATTTAGCATATGTCACCACACCTTTTTTTCTCGACAACCACTTGCTATGCAACGGGACCTTAGTTACTGGGCTTGAAATATATTAGCCCTGGAGACTCTTGATTCAGGCTTACATTTCATTACCCTCTGCAAGAGTCGTGGAAAGATCCATCGGCAGAACTGCACATTTCTCATTGGCTCCGTTTTCGCCCCTTTTTTATGCTGTCCTGAGCTTCCCTACAGTATAAAACCACAATTGGCCGGGTTGCTGATGTTCAGATCAGCCTAAATATTCCACAGCGTGACCTAAAACCACTAAACATCGCTAGTGGACAAACCGGGCGGCCATCTTGTATATAGTCTGGAATATCCGTCGGAAACGTTCGGTAGCGTCACGATTACCGAAGCGCGACCGAAAGCTCTCTGATCATAACCGGAAAGGCTGGTGGGGATAGCGACAAAAAAATGGCCATATTTAAAAAGGTAACGATCATTCACCCACAACCTTTGCTTAGAGAGTAACCAGAACAGCTCTAATTTTACCTGCATTAATCTGCAAATACAGGTAATGTTTTGAGCCCTGTTAAGATGTTGACATTTCTATTAGTATTATCCCCACATTCATATCTGTGTTTGCATTCTTTGCAGGATGAAAACTTACACATTTGCGATACTGGCCTTGGCACTTGTCGCCAACGTTGCGCACATCCGTGCTGATGATGATGACGAGGACTCGAAGAAGGACAGCGTAGGAACTGTCGTGGGAATCGATCTGGGAACAACTTACTCATGGTGAGCTTCAGAACTTAAAGTCAAACTCCATTTAGGTGAAGAAATGTAGGCCATAAAATCATTTTCTGGACAAATTTTTTTTTAAACCATGCTCGAATGATGCACTTTTCAGCACCCTTTTTTCCACACTATTGCTTTTTATAGCTAGTAGGAGAATGTTTTGATAGTTTTCACTGACCAGTTTTCTGAGACCAAATCTCAGAAAAAATATTTATCTTTCTAATGTCATATTTGGTACGATAGTACATGTATGTTATGTGTTTGAAACTTTCAAGCCCATAATTGCAAATGTAAGAGTTTAGAATTCTTCTGTACAGAATGGTGGATTACTGTAATTCACTTTATGTTCGCGGTAGCAAAATTTTTTGTCTGAGAAAAATTGACGTGGCAGCAGGTGCAGGAAAAAGAAAGTTGGCAGATTATTTGTTCACGGTAATGATAAGTTTGCAGTACAGCAGTGGCTGCGAAAAATGTGGACACAAAAGAACAGTGAAAAAATTGTGAATTACGGTACTTTGTCTTCCCATTTAACTGTGATTCATATAAACTGAGACTGTTCAACTTATGTTTGCAATGTTGCCTGTTTTCTTCCCCAGTGTCGGAGTGTACAAGAACGGACGTGTGGACATCATCGCTAACGACCAGGGAAACCGGATCACCCCTTCGTACGTCGCCTTCACGGCGGAGGGCGAGCGTCTGGTGGGAGACGCCGCCAAGAACCAGCTGACGACCAACCCCGAGAACACCGTCTTTGACGTCAAGCGTCTGATTGGCCGAACATGGGACGACCCATCCGTGCAGCACGATCTGAAGTATTTCCCATTCAGGGTAAGACACAATTTTATCTCAAGTTTACTTCTGAGTATGGAAGTGCTGTTTTGGGTTGCTGAGGGATGAGTTTTTGTATCTGTTCATTCAGGCAGTGTAGGTTGACAGCATGTGGGTGAGGGAAGGAAGATTGACAGGCAAAGTGACAAAAAGTCAAAGATCTTAACATCTGCATGGGAGTCAGCAAGGGAAAGAAAGCTGAGGAAGTTGCATACTAGTATTTTTCATGATCCTGAAATCTGTGATGTCTTATTCTCCTTTAATGCTTTATTCATGGAAATATATTTGTCAGTTACATCATCATCATTCTCAGAAATATTAAAAGTAAAAATTTTTTTATCAACTCTCTTCTAGCTTGGACTTTGTCTGGAAAAATACTGAGATTTTAAAGACCTTGCTTTTGTTTTACAGGTGAAGAACAAGAACAGCAAGCCGCACATTTTCGTGGACATCGGTGAGGAAAAGGACCGCATGTTCGCGCCGGAGGAACTCAGTGCCATGATTCTCGGGAAGATGAAGGAAACGGCCGAGGCCTACCTGGGGAAGACGGTCACCCACGCCGTCGTTACCGTCCCCGCCTACTTCAACGACGCCCAGCGCCAGGCTACCAAGGACGCCGGTACCATCGCTGGCTTGAACGTCATGAGGATCATCAACGAACCGTAAGTATTTTCTCTCTGAAATCTTTTCAGTTGGCACAGATATCCTTTTCGTTATGGGCAACGCGATGAGGTTCATCAATGAACAATAAGTATTCCCTTCCTGAAATCTTTTTACTAGTAGTTGGAATAGATATCCTTTTGCTTATTGGCAACAAGAAAAGTTTATTTAATGTTATTAAGGGACTTCAATAGTTTGGTACAAATACAACATCAAAGATGACTACAATTTTCTAACAGTAATGTCCTTACAATGAAGATTGGAAAATATTGATGATAACAATAAAACAACATTTCTTAAAACAAGTAGAGAAATATTCAATGTTGTATGCCATACATTGTACCTGACACAATTGTTGTGCAATAAACTGACTTATTTTTTTGGCGATGCCTCAGGAGCTGAGTCATTTTTGAAGTATAATACCATCAATCTGAAAAAAAATACTTCTCTCTTTACTCCACAGAACTGCTGCTGCCATTGCCTATGGTCTGGATAAGAAGGAGGGAGAGAAGAACATCCTCGTGTTCGATCTCGGTGGTGGAACCTTCGACGTGTCTCTCCTGACCATCGACAACGGAGTGTTCGAGGTGGTGGCCACCAACGGAGACACTCACTTGGGTAAAGCCTCCTTTGATTGATTGATTGCCATTGTTTGACATGAAATTGTTACATATGTGAATGGTACATTGTTCCTCTACATTGTAAATACTTTGTGTAATGGCCATTTCATATGTTTCATACATGTATGTAAATGGTACATTGTTCCTCTACATTGTAAATTTTTTGTTTACTAGCTATTTTATGTTTTGCGTTTGAAATAGAAATATTTAAGGATGGAAGATTCTCTTCCTTATTTTTCCCTTATCTGAAATCATAGCACTTAGACTTTGTAAAACAAAGGGGAAATACAGTCTCATAGCCTTCTTCAGGCCATAGTGGCAGTGGGTTGGGGCCCATCCCTCTCCTTCCACCGCCTTTTAGTTTTTAAGTTTTGCCTCCCCAACTGAAGTCAGGTACCCGTTTTATACCTGGGTAAAGTTGTGTTAAGTGCCTTTTCCCAACGAGACAACATCAAGGAATCAAACCCGCAACCTTTCGATCTTGTGTCCCCTAGCCTAACCACTAGTCCATTTGATGCCAGGTTTTACGGACATTACCAACACCAGCAATTACTTTGTACCAGAAGCTAAATTTATGAGTGAAGACTAAGTCTTTTATTCAGCCGACTTAATTCCGTTGGCTGAATAAAAGACTTGGTTGTGTAAAAAGAGTCTCTTCACTCAGTGTCTTACCAACCTGATGAAACTATTCATGGAAGCTAAATGTGTGATTTTTTTACTTCCTCATCAGGCGGTGAGGACTTTGACCAGCGTGTGATGGAACACTTCATCAAGCTGTTCAAGAAGAAGAAGGGGAAGGACATCCGTAAGGACAACCGTGCGGTGCAGAAGCTGCGTCGGGAGGTGGAGAAGGCTAAGCGCGCCCTCAGCGCCCAGCACCAGACACGTATCGAGATCGAGTCCTTCTTCGACGGCGAAGACTTCTCCGAGTCCCTCACCCGTGCCAAGTTTGAGGAACTGAACATGGTGAGCATTTGATATTTTGAAGCCTGTGTGGAATGTTTCGGGGGGTTTTCTAGAAAAATTTAGCATGAGGGAGCAGATCGCAAGCATGGTGAGGGAGTGAAGCGGCCGAGAGGGGATTTTTTATGAGAGTAACAGACTAACAGTTTGTAATGCTAGAATGCATTGTTGTATTGTTTTTACATCTTTACTAGAAAAAGATCATTTTGAGAAAGACTAAATAGTGTGTAAGTAGGGTTCAATCTAAAAGTTGATATGAGGGAGCTGGCTGGTTGCATGAGGGAGCACTGCCTTTATTCCTGTTTAGAAAAACCCTTGGTGTATGCATTTGTAGTAAAATTGTACCATTTCTTATTTCTAGGTTTTTGAAGTAGACGTGTTTCCTTTATATGTCAGTTGGCATTGTTTGTTGTATTAAAAACTGGACACTACTTTAAGTTTGCAAACCTGTCTTACATTTTCTAGTTTCTAGTGAATGTACTGGGCCCCTTTTGTCCCATGTAAAAAGAAGCTATCCTTTGAAAGATTGTTTGTTTGAACCTTTGTTTATTCAAGGACGTTATATCAGCAAAATGTCCTTGGTTTATTTAAATACTAGTATACATGTACTTAAATTGGCCTCCTGGCCTTTTTTCTTGGAGGTTATGAGGGAATATTTTTGTTTCTTCCATCTCAATTTTTTTTTGGTCAGCTAACTCTTGAAGTGAGAGCTCCTATGTCCAACAATGTACATTTTGTAGCTGTAACCAATATGAAAAACTACATAATTGAAAAGTTTCCTTATTTTTGTGTTATTCCAGGATCTGTTCCGTTCCACCATGAAGCCGGTACAGAAGGTTCTGGAAGACTCTGACCTGTCCAAGAGTGAGGTCCACGAGATCGTTCTCGTCGGCGGATCCACCAGGATCCCCAAGATCCAGCAGCTGGTGAAGGAGTTCTTCAACGGGAAGGAGCCGTCCCGCGGAATCAACCCTGACGAGGCCGTGGCGTACGGAGCTGCCGTCCAGGCCGGCGTGCTGAGCGGAGAGGAGGAGACTGGTACGTGTCAACTTTTTAAACCTTTTTTTTCACTGTATTCCTAGATATATACACTTTGATAACAATTAATTTCAAGATTGTATCATTTGTCCAGCAATTCATACATAAATTTTTTTACTATGTCATTTGTCCAGCAATTCATACATAAATTTTTTTACTATGTCATTTGCCCAGCAATTCAGACTTCAAATTTTTAAGTATGTCAACTTGATGTATTAGCTTTTTTTCTCCATTTACATTCAATGATATTGCTGTAATTCCTGTCTTTCTCTTTGTGCAGTGTTCTAGCCAGCATCCATCTTAACTGACAAAAATCGATGTGTAAATATATGGAAAGAGATGTCATTAAAATAAGCTAAGTCTGCGAGTAAAATGTTCACCTCAAAATGCAGGAAATAGTGTTTCAGTGAGTCAAGACTTGGGGATCAGGATTGTTGCACCTTTAGCACATGACATTGCCAAACAAAAAACTGGATTGTAGATGTTTAGGATATGAAGCAATGAACTTATTTCAACGTATGACAAGTTAAAGATGTTAATGAATTGTTCTGTGTTTCCCATAGGTGACCTTGTGCTTCTTGATGTCAACCCCCTGACCATGGGTATCGAGACTGTCGGCGGTGTCATGACCAAGCTCATCCCCCGTAACTCTGTCATCCCCACCAAGAAGTCTCAGATCTTCTCCACAGCAGCAGACAACCAGCCCACTGTCACCATCCAGGTGTTCGAAGGTAAGCACAACTTTCATTCTTTTCGTTGAAGAGATTCATTTGTCACATATAACAGTTACTAGAGAATTCTTTCATCAGTGACAATTTATTTGAAGGGTGAGAGTACTAACCTCTCATCTACATTGAAAATTTGGAGGTTAGTACTCTCACCCTTCAAATAACTTGTCACTGATGAAAGAATTCTCTAGTAACTTTCATTCTTTTGTAGTCACCATACCACATATTCTGCAGTCATGTATCAGGACAGGAATGCTGGCAGCATATGCAATCTAGTGCAGATAAAATTGAACCATTTTGCACTAAGTTTAAAGTAATTTTTGAAGAAGACCTTTAGTATGATCCATACTTCCTGAATGTAGTGCAGGTAAAACTTGAAACTCTACTGCAGAAATGAAGTGAAATTCAATGGGTTACACATCCAGTCACTTATCCAAAATGTGTGAGGAATTTTTAAACTGTTCTTCAAGAATTACCAGAATTTTTGACTGAATCCCTTGGTCTTCCTCAGCAAAAATTATGGTTGGAAAATAGTTAAAAGATTTTCATATAATTTTTTCACCAATTCAGATGAACTTTCATGCAAGTATGACAACCAGAATTAGCAACACAGCATATCTCAAAATAACTTGTATTCTTTTGTTGTGTCTTCACAGGTGAGCGACCAATGACAAAGGACAACCATCTCCTCGGAAAGTTTGACCTGAACGGCATCCCCCCGGCTCCGCGCGGCGTACCCCAGATCGAGGTCACCTTCGAAATCGACGTCAATGGCATCCTCAAAGTGTCGGCAGAAGACAAGGGCACGGGCAACAAGGAAAAAATCACCATCACCAATGACCAGAACAGGCTCTCACCCGAGGACATCGAGAGAATGGTCTCCGACGCGGAAAGATTCGCAGAGGACGACAAGAAGGTCAAGGAAAAGGTCGAGGCCAGAAACGAGCTGGAAAGCTACGCCTACTCGCTCAAGAACCAGATCGGTGACAGCGAGAAGCTCGGAGGCAAGCTCGAGGATGACGACAAGGAGAAAATCTCAGAAGCCATCGAGGACAAAATCTCCTGGCTCGAAAGCAACCAGGACGCAGAAACAGAGGACTTTAAGGCAAAAAAGAAGGAATTGGAAGAGGTAGTAACGCCGATCATCAGCAAATTGTACGAGGGACAGGGTGGGGCACCACCACCCTCAGGGGAAGAGGAAGAAGATGACTCAGAAAAAGACGAGCTATAAGACAGTGGGAACCAAGAAGGGGGAGGGGGGGTGTTAGAATCTTACACTTGTAGGTAGACAGTCACCAGCGTAGTTCTATCCTGAAATCCTGTTTAAATCATTACCTTGTGCAGTAGAATGTTATGAAAATTTGGAACGGCAAACTCCAGAAACTTGTGTCAATTCAGTATTTTCTAGTTGAGAGACCTTGTTCATTTTTTTTATTACCAAGATTTAATCTTACATCCAAGGGTGTACATTTACATTGACTCTCTTATCTAAGCTAGCGGCCTCTACAGATTATAGAAAATGTTGTTTGCTTCCCAAGAAATTTGAGCATGGACACTTCCAACTGTAACTTATGTTCTATATGATGTTGTACTTGTTGTATAAAAAGGTTGTAATTTCTTCCTCAAGCAACATATAGTGATGTAGCCTCTACCAGGCTTCGGAAGTGGCTGGATAGAGCAGAAATCGGTCAGATTCGATAGACAGATAGCATGTCAGTGGAGTTATTCTGCTAAGGGAGTACATTTGCCGCACAAATTTGATCAAACCCAACAGGTTTCGGATGTGGCAAAAATACATTTCTACTCCTTTAGTAGACCAACTCCCATTGCATGTTACCAGTCTATTTGGCCAATTTCTGCTCTTTTCAGCCATTTCCGAAGCCTGCTAGAGGCTATATATTAGTAATGCAGTCTTTTGCAGTTACGTACATGTAGTGGTGAATGGTTATTGTTGTAATATTAAACTCTGATATGTCTGCATTATTTTTGATTGTACAGAAATGTGACCAAAGGCCAGGTAACTCCTGAATTCCAATGCCTGTTGTACAATCACATCGGCAGAACGTACTGCGCCTATGCAAAACCCTGATTTTTCGCAGTATTCGTTGGATGTTTGGTCAATGTTGCATCAGAATTTTGCCTGTTGCAGACAGCATTTTTTCTGACACAGTCATTTGGAAACTACAGACGGACGTTAACCTTATGTGCACGAATACGACCTTGTATGAGATGTTCTGTCGCAGTGCTAGGCAAAATACATTACGGATTTCATGCAGGCGCAGTACGTTCTGCCGACGTGCTTGTTGTACCCTGTGTTTTCCCGCGCATGCTTGTATAATCAAAGCAGTATGTTCTCAGCTGTGTCTAAGGTCAACAGAAGTTTACAAGAGAAAGAAAAAAAAATAAACTATTTTTGTTAGCTGAAATGGTCAGCTGAGTTATCCACCCTGAGAATACTTATTTGTAAAATATCAGATGATGATATTAAAAAGAAGTTGATGACAAAGAATTTCGTATTGTTTGTTTCTTTCACATGATATTTAGAAAGAGAGAAATTTGTTTCAATCATAATAAATAGAGGTAGTGTATATTAATGCATAAATAAGATTTATTTATCAATTTAAGAGATTTGAAATTAATGATTTGAGTCAGAAATTAAAGACAGCTTAAAGTCAACTGTAAAGGAGGTTCACAAATAAGGCAAAGGTACAGGACTTAAACAAAACATGATCAGGCAATTATTTTGGGGGGTCTTGGGTCCTTCTAAAGTTATTTGACACTTAGCCTGGGTGCCAGACCTGTAGTGCTCATTGAGATACTTTGTGTCCAGTCTGTAACAGTGGGGGGTTTATATTAGCTACCAACTGACCTAGCCTGTGTATACACAAGCTCTCGGCTGGAGGTTAATGATTTTGGGGGGCGGCGGCCGCCAGGAGCGCGATTTAGTCAGGCTACCAACTGACCCGGCCGATGGGTTACAACAAGGCATTGTTCCAACTAGAAAAAATTATAATTTCGAGTCTCTTGGTGGGGCCAGGTAAACTACATCTATGTGTCTACAGTGCAAGAGTAACGTACAAGAGAAACGGCTTCAACTTTTCAAGCAAGGCAGCCCATAGACATATTGGACATAGACCAAAGGGCATTTTAATAGCTAATACCAATACCAGCTAATACCAATAGATCAGTGGATGGTTCAGTTTGAAAACACAGTGAAAAATTAGAGGTGATATCTAATTGATACCGCATTGCTTTGGTAAGTTTTTTGGTAGGTTTTGAAATACCCCATGTTATAAAATGTCCAATTCCTTGCCATTACTGCATAGACAGATTCCATAGAAGACCAGCATTGTGTCTGCCATAGCAAGGTAGCTGCTTGGTCATAGGGTGTAGACTCTACCAGGCTTCAGGTGCGGCAAAATGTTCTCTCCCAACAGACAAACTGCCCTGGCATGTTATCTTTCTATTTGGCCGATTTCTACTGTTTCCAGCCGCCTCCCGAAGCCTGGTAGAGGCTACATATTACATTAGGACCTTAATACTTACACAGGGCAAAAAAAACAGTGTCTAGATCTACTAACATCACACATGACAAGCTTTTTCCTATGTATATGTTTTGACATTGTCGAGGAGCCCTATATGAACAAATGATAACACAATATAATTCAAAGTACAGTATTTCGAGCCCTGAATTCAGGTCAAAGAAATTTAGCCAGCTGTCAGGGGTTCTGTCATTTGTTGGAGAGAGCCTCTTTGAATTCAGAAGTTCTTGATGATGTTTTTCCTCTCCAGGGGGTCTTTATGAGAAGCGGCCCCTGATTGGCCACAGCATCATTTTAGCCCCCCTCCCCATCAGGACTACAAAATACGTCACTTGTCAGGCAAGCTTGGCTGTGAGCGGACGCGTCGACAGGCTTTTGTGCTAGTATATCTCCAGGTCTTTCGGTAACTGTAAGGCTGTATCAAATTTGCCAGGCAGTAGCCATTTGCCTCCCGCCAAGTTTGGATGCCGCGGACAAAAACATATCCCACTGAAAACGCCTAAAAGCATCGTGTCAAAGATAAGGCGGATCCTAAACCTCTGCTTGGAGAGTTCTTTTGTGCGCTCGTCACAAGAAAGAGGCCCTCGATTCCGCACTTGGGATTGTGACTGCTGACCTTCGCAAGGTAAACATGTTGTTGTTTTTGTCCCGTTCAGATGTAAAGAGTTTTACTTGAAAAATGTTTAGCACTCTCCATTTTACTTTTGTCTTGCGGGTTTGATACAGTAACTCTTTATGTAAGGATCTATATATAGTGAAGTAGCTTGGCATTCTGGCCTAGCCTCTACCAGGCACCGCGGATCGCTGAAAGTACAGTAGATCGCTGGAAGTATAGTAGAAATTGGCCCACAGTGAAATTGGCCGAAATTCGTGGATCTTCTAATTCCTGGGATCTTCTCTGGTATACTATCCCTTTACCAGTCTACTATTTTCAGCCATCTGCGATGCCTCGTAGAGGCTAAATTCTGGCTATTTCCGGGTACGTAACAAAACTGCATTTTTCAACGTCAAGTTTGCAAGATGAATCAACACTTTTCCGATGGCATACTGATGGCCACTGATATATGTGAGGGAAAATGCGACGTCGATGACGGAAAACGTAGCTTGTTTTGTTACTTTTTTGTGTGTAGCATTCTTGCTATTTATGCATTTATGGGCGGTGCCCCTAAAAATATGGAGACAGCTGGCGTAGTACAGCTGTTTTGGGGGCTATTTCAGACGTAACCGTAACATTTAATAAGACAGCTGGCGTAGTACAGCTGTCTCCTGTGCAGGCCCCGCGGCGGTGGGGAAAAGTTTTTAACGCGTTATTACCTCCATGAAAATGGAGGTATTGTTTTTGGAGTGTCTGTGTGTGTGTGTGTCTGTGTGTGTGTCCGTGTGTTTGTGTTTCCGCACATTTGTAGTCAGCATAACTTCAAAACGCCTTTATGGATTGTGATGATATTTGGTATGCTGGTAAGTCTTTAGGAAGACAAAGGTCAAGGTCAAATATGGGCCTCCTGGTGGATGACCTTGGTACTGCAGCAGAAATTCCGGTTTTTGTATCTTTTGTCCTGAACATGCTATGGTCTTGACTTTTTGGTGACAGATAGCTTTTCCTGTCAGGAATAAGTGGTGTGGGTTTGGTCCCCCTAGCAGCTTGTTCTGGAACTGCAGGGCACTTTTTGGCGAAATCTTTAAAAGCCAACAAGTCCAGATAGGAACAATGTATTTTCATCATTTTTGGTGTGTAGGTAGCTGAAAGAGAGTTGTACATAATTAAATGCAAACTATGCAAATGAGGACTTCATTCGCATAATTAATGTGGAAAGTGTGTAATTCCAGTGTTTTACATCATGGGACTTTGATACATGTAATGTTTATAATCTATGGCAGGAGGAATATGACGAAATGCCAATTATGCAAATACGGACCTAATTTGCATAATTGATCTCAAAATTCTATGATTCCTTATTGGTAAATGATAGGAATTTCATACTTGGAACATGTGCAAGTTAATCAAAAGTTAACATCACGGTGCATTTATTATGTTTATGTAGAGGTCATTTGCATAATTAAAATAATAAATTAGATAAGCGTGGAACTTGCAGCTTATTTCAATTCTTGTGGAAAACCCCGCTTAGTGATTGATAACTGGTTCTTACAAAACACATGAAAGCACTTTGCGTCTCCAAATCGTTTCAATTGTAAGGTTTCATCTTTATTAAACCATTTTCATTATTTCTACAGGGCACAAATATCATTAGCATGGCAGCAAGAGCACCTCACCTGACACCTGCTTCTCACAAGCGTAAAGGTGAGAAACCCTACAGGTGTGAGGAGTGCAGCAGGCAGTTCGGTCAGGCTGTCTCACCTCAAAATACACATGCGGACTCACACAGGTGAGAAACCCTACAAGTGTGAGGAGTGCAGTAGGCAGTTCAGTCAGGCTGGGTTCGTTGAAGACCCACATGCGGACTCACACTGGTGAGAAACCCTACAGGTGTGAGGAGTGCAGCAAACAGTTCAATGAGCTGGGTCCTCTGAAGGCCCACATACGGACTCACACTGGTGAAAAACCGTACAAGTGTGAGGAGTGCAGCAGGCAGTTTACTACGCTGGGTGGTCTGCGGAATCATATAGGAACTCACACTGGTGAGAAACCGTTCAAGTGTGAGGAGTGCAGCAAACAGTTTAGAAGGCTGGGTCATCTGAAAGATCACATGCGAACTCACACTGGTGAGAAACCGTACAGGTGTAAGGAGTGCAACAAACAGTTCAGTCAGCTGAGTAATCTGCGGACGCATATAAGAACTCACACTGGTGAGAAATCCTACAGGTGTGAGGAGTGCAGCAAGCAGTTCAGTCGGCTGGCTGTCTGCAGAACACATGCAAACTCACACAGGTGAGAAACACTACAGTTGCGAGAAGTGCAGTAAGCAGTTCAGTCAGCTGGATCATCTGAAGAGACACATGCGGACTCACACCGATGAGAAACCCTACCGGTGTGAGGAGTGCAGCAGACAGTTCAGTGAGCTGGGTCATCTAAAGCAACACATGCGGACTCACACTGGTGAGAAACCCTACAGGTGTGAGGAGTGCAACAGCCAGTTTAGAACGTCGAGTGTTCTGAAGGTACACATGCGGACTCACACTGGCGAGAAACCGTACACGTGTGAGGAGTGCAACAACCAGTTTAGTCAGCTGGGTAATCTGAAAATGCACATGCGGACTCACACTGGTGAGAAACCCTACAGGTGTGAGGAGTGCGGCAAACAGTTCAGTCAGCTGGGTCATCTGAAAGATCACAGCCGGACTCACACTGGGGATAAACCCTACAGATGCATGCGAGAAGTGCAGGTTGGAAAGTCTAAAGACACACACCCGAACTCACACAGATGAGAAACCCTACAGGTGCGAGGAGTGCAGCAGGCAGTTCGGTCAGCTGGATAATCTATAAAAGCACATGCGGACTCACACTGGGGAGATGTGAGAAGTGCAGCAGTATAGGTCAGCAGGCTGGAATATCTAAAGATACACATACGGGCCTCACAAAGGAAAGAAACCATATTAGTGTGAATAGTGCAGCAGACAATTTCAGTACAGCAAATAATCTGAAGACCCGCTTGCGAACTTACTCTGGGAAGAAAACCTACAGATGTAAGGAGTGCAGCGAACAGTTCAGTAATCAAAGTTCTTTGAAGAGACATAAATATGAAGGCTCGCAGTGGTGGAGCGGGCCAATTTAGGACATTGACACTTACATGGAAGACCGACCGTAAAATGCCAGGAAGTAGCGTTGAAAACGATGTCACTTCGACAACCGTAGTTTGATGTCCTGATGTAAAGACTTACAAGACTCCACTAGTAATAATTATTGTAGTGTTTAAGTGTGGAGAATTGACAAGTATTGAACGGCTCATTGTCAATTCAGCACTCTGATGTCAGTAGTTGACATTGCCGTTTCTACTGCTTTGACTACTTACTGTAAATAAATAACCCACTAATATCAAAATATTTAAGATCAAGTGTGCTAAAACTAAACTAGCAGAAATAATTGAGCTAAGAATTGTACGTTGGTAGATATTCTAAGAGTAAGTAATGCTGAGTTACTGATAGTGCTACTAATCTAAAATGCGTTAAACTGTCTTGCTAGCTGGCTTGCTGTCCTAACATTTTATGATATGCATTTAGACCTAGTATCCCTGCCTAGATTTTGTCTATTATACGCACCAGTTTCTTCAATAAATCGAAAGAATTATGACTTACATACGAAATGTGCTGTTGTGTTTTGTACAAGAGGAGGGACTCAATGTGATCGTGAACACAAAGTCTCAAACACATTGATTGTGAAATACAATATATCTGGTTAAAATACAACGTATTTTGTTTTTGACTGACACATATGAAATCATATTATATTCAAAACTGCTTATATTGACAGACTGCCCGTATGTGGCGTTACAATCGTGTGAACAATATCAAAACACCAGGCATAACAGATTCTTTTTTTCCAGAACTATCGTTAAGTGGAACTCGCTTCCACCAAGTACAGTAGTAGGGGCATCGTCACAAAATAAGCTAGAAGTTAGATGTCCAAAGGTTTGGTGTAACAGGTCGTTAGGTGCAATATAGCCAGCTGCCGCTGCGGTCAGTGCCCGCGAACCTGGTGTGCTATGCTTAAGGTCGGTTATACTAGGAATGCAGATTATAATGTCAATGTACAGACTTACAAGGTCTTTGCCAAGTTTCTATCACACTAGACAGAGTCACGTTGTTGTCCGGACTGGATTGTTTTTTCCACAAACCCGTCTGGGCCTCTGTACGCTGTCTGCTTTATTGAATGCCCCACGTCTTTGTTGCCAAGCTGTCTGCCATCTGTTGTGAGATCTCATCCTTTAGCAAAGGCTCCACAGTTTGCATCAAACCAATGTTGTTGGAAATGGAGGCCATCAAAACACAGTTACTGTCTCAAACAGAACCACGGCGCTTAACCAGCAATTAAACCACTATATCAAGACGTCAGCAGTGGAGCCTGATTTCGAGGCTAATGTGAATCAACATGCTGTATATTATTCCCGTGCGTGTATGAGAGGCACCCCCTGATTGGTAGCAGAATATGGAAATTAGACCCTTCAGACCGTACACGATATTTACGTCACTTGTCAGGCAAGCTGAAGCTGTGAGCGGACGCGTCGACAGACTTTTCTGCGTCAAAGCAAGCAAGGACCTTCACATAGCTTCTTGGTCACAGAAAGGAGGCCTTCAACAAGCTGCTACCGCTGATATTTGTAAGGTAATATCTTATTTTTTGTCTCTTTCAGATTGAACATATGATAACTTGTATCGAAGAGAAAAATTCTCTGTTCCCCTTTGTCGACACGTTCCTCAAACGCTTTGGTATATTTTATACATCAAAGTAAAGAACTATTCTTGCATTCTGGTCACAGTTTGACACTAGCTTGTGCACTGGACAAAATAATAGTCTTCTACTAGCTTCTAACTCAACTCTAATTTTTACGTCGGCAGACGTATCAGTTGAACAAAGGAGGTTGAAATCAAAGAGGTAAAAAATTCTGATTTTTAACCTACATGAGTTTGCACATTCCCATACAGAGTACAAAATCGCTATTCTCAACTTTAGCCTTAGTCACGCAAACGATTGTCAGGATGATGCAATCTACTTTAATTCTGGAGAAAAGAGTTACTAGCTAACAAAATTATGACGACTTTAGCTGTTAAGAGGAAAAAAGAAGAAATTCAACAGATGTTTGTCACCAGATTCCTACGGGCCAGGCTAGGGCTGGCAGACCGTTTGCACAAAAGCTTTGGTTGAATCATAAAAGGCGAGAGGTCACTTTTAGCATATGAATGTACGGAGTCAGACTGCACATTGTTGTTGGTTCTGACTGACTGAACAGCCTGCCACTTTTTTCAACAAGAAAGCTCTGAAAGGGAAGGGAAAATATATTCATCACTAAGAAGGCCATACCAATTTCATCAGTTGGTTCTCGGAATCGCAATCTACTTTCTGTCGACAAGAAAAAATGCCCTAAATTCCCATTCCGTAAATTTGTAATTCCATCTTACTAAATCCTCATTGTATGGCTTTCTGATAATGGGAAATGCTCTGAGTGGCTTTCACTCTCATAATTGTGCACATTTTATCCAATGAATTTATATATCTGCATCATGCAACAAAATCTAGTTGTTTTTTTTTATTTTTTACTTTGAACTTTTTAATAGTTTTCAACAAACCAATGAATCTAATGTACAATGGTAGTACCAGGATAAAGTTGGTTGTTATATTTTCTTCGATTCTGTTTATTATAGTTGTTCTTCAAGCCCTTAAAATAATGGTTGACATAATGTTTCTTTAATACGTTGTATCTTCAAATATCATAAGATAAAAGTAGCTTGTGTACACCTTCTATTTATTACAAAATTTAAAAACTAATTACAAAATTAACTAATAATGACAAAAGTACTAGTACCATGTGAATCTAGTAAAGAAGAAGTGAGAAATCAGAACATAACAACAACAGCATGTTGCTTAACACGTCGCTGCATAACGTCTACAGGACATCGGCCGGCATGGCAGCAAGAGCGCCGTCTCATCTGACACCAGCTTCTTCACGTACTAACAACTATGGTGGTGAGAAACCCTACAGGTGCGAGGAGTGCAGCAAACAGTTCAGTAGGCTGGGTCATCTGCAGAGCCATATAAGAACTCAAACTGGTGAGAAACCCTACAGGTGTGAGGAGTGCAGCAAACAGTTTACCAAGCTGGGTCATTTGCAGACGCACATGATAACTCATACTGGAGATAAACCTTACAGGTGTGAGGAGTGTAGTAGACAGTTCAGTCAGCTGGGTCATCTGAAGACTCACATACGGACTCACACTGGTGAGAGACCCTACAGGTGTAAGGAGTGCAACAAACAGTTTACTACGCTAAGTAAACTGAAGATACATATGAGAACTCACACTGGAGAGAAACCCTACAGGTGTGAGGAGTGCAGCAAACAGTTTAGTCAGCTGAGTCATCTGAAGACACATATGACAACCCACGCTGGTGAGAAACCCTACGGGTGTGAGGAGTGCAGCAGGCAGTTCAGTCGGCTGGGTCATCTGAAGACACATATTAGAACTCACACTGGTGAGAAACCCTACAGGTGTGAGGAGTGCAGCAAACGGTTCAGTAGGCTGGGTCATCTGAAGACCCACATACGAATGCACAACGGTGAGAAGCCCTACAGGTGTGAGGAGTGCAGCAAACAGTTTAGTCAGCTGAGTCATCTGAAGACACATATGACGACCCACGCTGGTGAGAAACCCTACAGGTGTGAGGAGTGTAGTAGACAGTTCAGTCAGCTTGCTCATCTGAAGACTCACATGCGGACTCACACTGGTGAGAAACCCTACAAGTGTGAGGAGTGCAGCAAACAATTTAGTACGCTGGTTTCTCTGACGAGACATATTCGAACTCACACTGGTGAGAAACCCTACAGGTGTGAGGAGTGCAACAAACAATTTAGTACGCTGGATTCTTTGACGAGACATATTCGAACTCATACTGGTGAGAAACCCTACAGGTGTGAGGAATGCAGCAAACAGTTTAGTGACCTGGGCCATCTGAAGATACATATGAGAACTCACACAGGATAGGAACCCTACAGATGTGAGGAGTGCAGCAGACAGTTCAGTCAGCTGGGTGATCTGAAGAAACATATTAGAACTCACACTGGTGAGAAACCCTACAGGTGTGAGGAGTGCAGCAAACAGTTCAGTCAGCTGGGTCATCTGAAGAGACATATTAGAACTCACACTGGTGAGAAACCCTACAGATATGAGGAGTGCAGCAAACAGTTTACCAAGCTGGGTCATTTGCAGACGCACATGATAACTCATACTGGAGATAAACCTTACAGGTGTGAGGAGTGTAGTAGACAGTTCAGTCAGCTGGGTCATCTGAAGACTCACATACTGACTCACACTGGTGAGAAACCTTACATGTGTGAGGAGTGCAACAAACAATTTACTACGCTGAGTAATCTGAAGATACATATAAGAACTCACACTGGACAGAAACCCTACAGGTGTGAGGAGTGCAACAAACAGTTTAATACGCTGAGTAATCTGAAGATACATATTCGAACTCACACTGGTGAGAAACCCTACAGGTGTGAGGAGTGTAACAAACAGTTCAGTCAGCTGAGTCATCTGAAAACACATATGAGGACCCACGTGCACGCTGGTGAGAAACCCTACAGGTGTGAGGAGTGCAGCAAACGGTTCAGTAGGCTGGGTGATCTGAAGACCCACACACGAACGCACACCGGTGAGAAGCCCTACAGATGTGAGGAGTGTAGCAGCCAGTTCCGTACGTTGAGTAATCTAAAGAGACACGTGCGGACTCACACCGGTGAGTAGCCCTACAGGTGTGAGGAGTGTAGCAGCCAGTTCAGATACCAAAAGTCTTTGAAGAGACAAACAGCACTTACATTGACATTTACATGGAAGACTAGAAGTAAAATGTGAAGATTCAACGTTGTCAAACTTCTCCATGGAAAACAATGACTGTCTAGACGTCTGATGACTCAACTAAGAGAGACTCAAATACTCCATATAATTGCAATTTTTTAATATGAACAATTGACCTATATCATGAAAGTTCATCTGTGTTGGTAGTTACATGTTTAAAGTTAAAACTTTGGTCCAACACAAAAAATTCTCTCACCTAGAGCTTTCGACCAGACACTCGCGAAGCTTGTCACGTGGCTTCTTTGAAGTGTGACGTCAACACTGGGTCAAAGGTATCTGGTAGACGATGTTCGAACCCCCGACGCGGTTCAATTGAAGGGTGATGG